TGGCTGCGCCGCAGTCCTTGCTGCGTAGCGCATTGCATGCGTTGTGAACTGCATACACAGATGAAGAGCAAGCAGTGTTGACGACGATACTCGGGCCCCTGAGGTTGAAGACGTGGCTGATTCTGTTACTGAGAATACCGGGGTCTACACCTGTTGCCGAAAGACTGTGACGGAAAGAGTGCTCCTTAAACTGCATTTGCTGGTAGTCTGCCGTGAATGTAGCCATGAAACAGGCAGTGTTGGTACCAGCCAACTTATCCAGGGGAATACCAGAAGACTCGATCGTCTCGTAGACGACCTCCAGACATTTCCGCTGCTGAGGGTCCATCCACATAGCTTCCACCGGGGTGATTCCGAAGAAGCTGGGGTCGAACTCTAGAAGAGATTCGTTAAGGAAATAACCTCCGAGAGCGCTGAAGCTTCCGGGACGGTCATTGTTCTCGTGGTGGTGGGCGCCGATGTTGAATCTCGTAGGCGGGACGGAAGGAGTCTGTCCAGTCTGCTTGTTCATCATCATCTTCCAAAACTCCGCTGGTGATCCGACGTCTCCAGGCAGACGGCAACCTATAACATATGTTAGTGACTTATTTCACGTGTTAAATTAGAAAGGAGACATACCCATTCCAATTACAGCGATGGGCTCCAGCTGCTGGCTTAGAGGCGCCTCAGATGATCCTTCAAAGAATCCAGCACCTGCATATGCCTCGTCGTCGACTATGCCTTGCGCATTGGAGGCTTGGGCGTTGTAGCCAAGCTCGAATTCGAGCTCGACATCCGACGCGCTCGACGAGGAACTTTCTTTGAAGTGAGGCATCTTGATGGTTTGACTGTGGATTTCGTCTTCGGATCAAGGAGTAGTGAATCAAAAGACTTGCTTGCTTAATTCACTGTGAGCACAATGAAACAAGAAACAAGAACGAGGCCAGAGGGTTTGCGAGCTCGATATTTAAGTATGATCCAAGGCCAGCAAAGAGTCTATCGACAGTCTATAAACGGACTCTATCAGCGGTTTGTCCTACGGCCGTGTCCGGTTGGTCCGCCGCGATGCCGGATAGGGTTCGATACCTCCGTCTCGTCCAACGCAAGTAGAAAAGGAGGGTCCACCGCGCGTCTTACTGCAGATAGATGATGAAACGATAAACTGCAACATGGCCCAAATACCACACAACCTTGAGCAAAGCGTTGGTCCGTTGGCACCGCACGGCCGACGGGGGCGGACGACCAGATTTACTTATGATAGACTATAGTACAGGATGGTACCTAACAGGATCTCAAACACGGACCAGGTTCATCCACTCATCGCGGCAATCATTTGCAGCTAATGCAATTACATGGGGCCCGTTAGATCTATTAACAGGTACCTAGCTAAATTGTACTCCACGACTTGGATACGATACAGCTTGTGGAATTTACCAGAGTTGGTTCTCGTAAGTTGGTCATAGTATTGGTAGATAGCTTCAAAATACGAATTCTTTCCTTTTTCATCATCTTGCCGCTTACGAGTAAGAGCAACGTGAACCAGCTTCGACTACAATACCATTCACTTTTAATACATCTCATTTGGATGTGTTTCATTTTGGATGTGTCTCCTTTTGGGTATCTCTTCATCGAGTATGAACTTCACTCTACGTTACCGCTGGATCTCCAAATAGCATATGCTATATTGGGTCTAGATTTCTAGCTTGCGTTTGCGTAGGGACGGAACCCAGCCTCTGAAGAAGTTACGATAGGGTTTCGATGAAATCTCCGATCCCGCAGGCAGAGAGATCGTCGCTAGTGACAGACAAGTGACATCCCTGTACGCGTAACATAGGCCCTTGACCACCCTGACTACCCTGACCAGCCTGACCAGGGACGCAGAAGAACCGATTGGTCCTGATTTCAGAGACGATGTTATCCAGGGTTTCGTGCTGCTAGCCGCAGTGATGCAGGGTTTTCGATCGGGTAGCATATGCATGACAGGATGGCGTGACTTTTCGGGAAAAAGGATAGAGATTCTCGAACTCACGCACGTGATATGTAATATAATATTTGATAGTTATGTGAGATTACCTGGGTACGCTGATCTAAGTATGAATGAGCCTTACACTGTCTTGTGTGACTTTGGTATACTCTACTAGTTATATGAAATCTATCAGACATGATGATAGAGGAAACTGTCTTGCGGAGATATTTTAAAATTTAGCAAACTATAGCCATGTAATTACCTAAGATAATGCTTGAAAGGAAAACTCGAACTTCATCTTCCTTCTCAAGGCTTCCTAGGTATCTAAGGTACCTAAGGTAGGTAGGTAGGTAACCAAACCAAATCCTGTACACGGCTGGACTGGGTACTTGATTCCTAAGTCGCACCGTTACAACTTTACAACTTATCAGAGCATTACATTAGATAAGTGATTCGGTAGTTTATATCCAAGCCGTGAAATATGCGTAAAAGTCATCGTATTGCAATAGTTAAATTAAATATCGCCATAATTACTCGGGAAGGTTGGTCGTTTCTGATGTTTCTTGTAGATAAGCCTGGCCAATCATGAGTCTTCATCGGTCGTCGTGGCCGCACCATATTCGCACAGTACAGCCAATGATACGATTTGCCCGGTCGAGACGGCCGCTCCTCATACAAACCAAGCAAATAAACAAGCACACAAAAGCAGGAAATAAACCCAATTCTTACTCTACATCAATAACAATCAAATAATATCAAACGAAGTCTTTTGCCACATGTATAAAATAAATACCTAGCTTGAGATTCATAAAAACTCTTCTCACTGCCTCATTTCTTTCTTATTTACCTACCTAGGTACTCAAGTATTTATTCAGCTATTATTCTTATCTACAACTCGAATTTCTGCCTTATAAGTTGGGTACCTTTGATGATAATTTTATACTTACTTTTTATTGGCAGCCATTTATATTCCTCGACAATGTAGTAGGGAACAGTCATGTCTTGACGTTTAAGAAATTCGACGGGCCAGTAACTAAGGTGGAGTTAATGAGACATGCACAATATATTTCAACAACTCAATTTTAAAAACCTACAGGTTCCCGTGAAACTTGATCATATAAAACAATTGGGTTATTACCTAGGTACCTGTCTACCTCACAGGCAATCTACAACCAAGGGGAGAACTCCTTCTCCTATAATAAGCTATGAAAGATTGAACATCCGCCATATAACTACCCACAATTAATAGAATTCAAGCCATCATCGCCATGTGTCGTTGGATTGCCGATATTATTCAGAATTCTTTGTACTAGAGTTTATCTCCTTTCAAATCTTCGTCGTAACTACCTATCTCTGGGTATGTAACGGTGCAATCATACCTGGGTATCTACGCACTATTGACGATCAGATATGCATCCATACCCGGCCACTTACATATAGGGGTCTTGCTCCGTCCATAAGAAGTCTTACTCTGGAACCACTGAGACCCCAGAGCAAAGGGCTTACGGTGCATGAACGTTCCAGTCCCAGATAAGCCCGTAGTCCTTCGCCTAATAGTACCTAGGGTTGCTTTCTCAAGCCTCTAGCATCATGACGCCTTCGATATACTATCAAATAAAATAGTAGTATTTTATCTTTTATGTGTTGTTTTATAGTGAGTGTATCGAGACCCCACCTCCATCTACACTTCTCGTACCTATTAGATAGCAACTTGCCCACACCACACGATGCTCGTTTAGCAGAATCGTATTGATCGTCAACAGGGTTGCCATCATTTCCCTGCCTCTTGAATTGCCGCCGCCCCATATAATACCGAGCGACGATAGCTTGAGAGATAGGCATACCCTTGCAAGGGCTGGCCTGGTCGAGCATCAACAGCCTAGGTCAGATGGAGTATTCGATCTTCACCAGGCTCATGCTAGGACTACTACACAACTTCAACCCCTCAAAAGCCAGCATTTGGCGAGCGAGCTCGCATCCAGAAATGACCGACGAATTCATCCAGCGTTACACTTTAAATTGCGCTATCAGATCACTGACGAGAAAATCCTGTTATGCAATAGGAAAACCTACGTATCGCCGATGGGTAGCAACTCTTGCTGCTGCGGACTTTAAACTGTTATCGCCGCCGTCTCAAATTTCATCTATTTATCCGCGACTTCGGATGCAGAAATCGTTAACGACCACGCATGGAAATCATCTGTTCTTCTATTGCTGTTTTACATATTTGATTCGGTACATGAGAGCAAGCATGGCTTGATACAGCTCATTAAAAGTAAGTGAGACGCGGCGGTTCTAGTTCTGACGTTAGATGTCATGTATATTCTCATGTGCTTCAAGAGAGACTATAATTGGCTGGATAGGGCGTGCATGTTTGATTGGTTAAGATTCTGGCTTACCCCTTTTAATCATTTCATTGCTGACTACAGTTGTCGACAAAGCTCCAACATTTCCTATGCAATGGACAGTTCTAATAGTAAGACCAACTTAAACCTGCCTGTATAATGGTGTTGATGCCATATCTTTCAATCAAGTTCTTATAGCAGTGCCAGTTGCATCTTGGCCCCTGGCCCCACGATTTGCCTGGATCATGGAAACTCAACCATGATGATAGCCGCAGTGAAGTAAAGTATATGCGCATTTCATTTATAATTCACGAAATAGACTTGCCTACTGGTAGTTTCTAAGACAAATAGCTCGGCGCCGATTACTTCATAAAGCAAGCAAAGGCTAGCCTTCTTAAATAGAAACTTATACTTCGTTTTATTTTCGGGGGAACGATGATATCCAAGATTTCAGCCATTGATTAAAGCCTGGTATGAATAAGCCAACTCTTATTATTCTATTGCTTATAGTAGAATTATCGAATAGTTCCACGTATGGCTAAAAGGTATTGTCTTCAACATGATATTCGCAATCATTGCCATTTATATTGAATAATAAAACTTATCCAAATATAGCTTTGGCGAGTCAAATAGTTGAGCCGTGATCAAGTTTCGTTCTTGTGTAATCTAGCATTATACAAACTTCCTCTCCCCCCTACGCATTAGATCCCTTAGACTTCATATCGGAACTCCCTATTCTGCAAATCCGTTAGATCTAAGAACTCGTGGTTCTCTTCGGGCCTATAAGTTCCATCAAGTGCCGCCTTTTCCTGTTCTCGCTGCTTATTCCGTCTATCCAATACCCATCGCATCACTACTAGGTCAATAGTGATAAGGACGTAGATAATACAAATTGAAATCTTAGCCGGGAGGTAGCGTGGTGCGTCCCGAGCTTGGAAAGTCTGTGGTGAGATGATATTGCCAACTGTATAAGCGATCGTTCCTATACAAGCGACCGTAATTTTCTTCGTTGATCCTGCCACGTTCGAACTCTGAAGCCCAAGGATTGTGGTCCACCCAATTGGAATACCACCGCTCGTATAGTAGCCGATCAAAGCAGGCACCCGTTCAGTCGTGGCCATCAGAATGGCACCAATTATCGCAGGGATGTGGCCAGCAATGCAAAAGTACAGCCTCTGTCTCATCTTCATCGCGCCGTATGTAAGTCCTATTAATGCCACCACCTCCCAAGCACCGAGTGGAGTTACTAATAACAAAGATTCCTCGCTGGAGTAGCCCATACCCTTCACCAAAATGTTCCCGAAAGATGTGGCAATCGAGTTAGGGATATTGGCTGCAAAAATCCAGAATGCGTATAGCCAAGTCATCGTGTCAGTTAACGCTTCTTTTACCTGGTCCCATTTGAAAGTTTGCGACCCGATGCCCTGTTCATTATGCCTAATGCGTTCGAGGTGAAGCCCCTTTTGCTCCTTGTCAAGGAATCCCGCAACGGCGGGGGAATCTGGCATAACGAACCAAAACGCAATTCCCACGGCTGCCGTGAATAGACCCAGAAATAAAAAGATAATTTGCCAGCCCTTTAAGGCTGCGTTTGGATCCTTTCCCACATGTGTGGCCACGCCATACGCGAAAAAGCCCCCAAACATCTGCGCTGCTCCGCACATGGAGAACCATATACCCACACGAAAGGCCTGTTCCTCCTTCGTGTACCATTGAGAGGTAAACAACACCCATGCCGGCACCACGCCTGCTTCCAAAACTCCGAGAAAAAACCGGCACACCAATAACCCGGCATAGTTCTTGCAAGCTGCAAGGCAAGCCAGAGTGGCACCCCAGAGGGTAACATTAATTGAAGTGTACTTAGCAAGAGGGAATAGTTGTATCAGACGAATCGTCGGGAACTCAAAGGCGAGCTGGCCGAAGAAGAAGATGGACGCTACCCAGTTAAACTCATTCCCTTTGAGTCCAATAGATTCTGTTATACCGGTAACGCTGGCATAGGAGATGGCAGTCTTATCGATATACTGGAGGAAGTCTGCTATACGTTAGTAGAAGGCCCCTGATACATGTGGCTTTGCGACCTTTTCTAACATAGCTCAGAAAGATAGAAAGGAGGGCAAGCATGGCGATCGTAGTTACGTACAGACTATACAAATTAGCGGCATGATATGCCAGTCGATACGCCTAACGAGTCTTCGATGAACTTCAGGATCAACAACCTGATGCACCCCGCCGGTTTCCTTCAGAAGTTCCAGAGCTGCATCAGCACCGGACTTGAAGGTTTTATGTACGCCGACCGAAGCAGACTTTGTCGCATGCTCCTCTGAGCTCGATTTGGCTTGAGCCGGGTCCTCGGCCATCCCCGGCGCCAGGACATCTCTATCTTTTTCGTGTGAATCAACCATCTCGACCATAAGCACGATTGGGTCGTCGCGGTGAGTTTAGGATCTTGAGAAATTATGAAATTGACATATTTCAAGAAACGAAATTCTTAAAAATGTGACTGGGCTAAATTAAAGGCGCGCGACGGCTTCATGGCAAGGTGAAAGGGTTCAGCGCGTCAAACGCTACCATGATAAGATAGATTGCCCACATTGATTTCGTGCTGTGCAATGAAATAGCACATTTCTCCAAGCACGTCATTTGAGGGCTGATGATGCCACGAGGCTGACAAAGATTCCAAGCAGCCAATTTGCTAGCTAGGAAATTATTAACATCTAGGCATTGAGCTATGTAGTACTTAACGACAGAGTCTAGAATACTATTATAGTATAGTATTAATAGTCGCGATTTAGAAAAAATGGCTTTATGCGGACGTCCGCGACGACTTTATAAACTCGTCAGAGTATTGACGCGATTAAGGGGTTTTATGTTTTAGGGATGCAAATTTTATTATACGATTAGCGTATAATACCGCATAATAAAATATTATATTTTATAATCGATTTATTATGCGTATAACGGATTAAGTACACCCGATTATCCGGCGCACTAATGTTTAATCAGGATAACGCTAGTATTAAAGCTTTATTAAGGGTTAATGTGGGTTATATTTAATTAAATGCTTATATCTAGTAAACTATTACATAGAAAAATTTACAAAGTAATGACCTTACATATAAGTGTATTATATATTGCGTATAATGTACATAATAGTCGCATAATATATAATAACGCATAGTATAGATCTATTATGCGCATAATGGGCATTCCTACTATTTTCAAAAGCTATGAGTACTACCTACGTAGGTTAGGTACCTAGGCAAGTGGCCCCTTTTTAAGTTATCCTCGTCCAAGTCAACTTGTGAGATGCAACGCCCCGTAATCTATCTAGAATATCATGTTCATAAAAGGTAGAGCCTGGCAACTTTTAGTTATATTACGCTTCCCTAAACTAGAGTTTGGGCGCGATGCTAGTCAATTAACTACCTAGGTACCTGGCCCCCTAATAATACAAACTGACTTGGTAATATCGTATTTCTGGGAACATCTTGCTTACCATGCTAGCTCATCTTAGTTATTGCGTTAGGAATCTTTCGCCTTAGGATATATATAGCTGAAAGGCGTGGATGGATATGAGTATTGAAATGCTAAGTTAGCAGGACTCCGGTAACTTCGAAATTTTTCCATTTTATTATAGTTAGAGGAGCGGCAAACTCTCTGTAAAGATTGCAGCGAGGTTATTTATTTATATGGGAAGCAAGAGATTTAGAATACGAAGGAGTGCGGTAATTTGATGAAGCTTCTGTGGTCTCTTCACTAACTATATCTTTTGCTTTCTCCTATGTCGGTCCAGAGAGCCCGGGACAATTGGCTTTTCTAGTCATAGTATCGGGCTCCGGAGCCAGTATCGTAAGAGTCGAACTAGCGGATATTCAGCTTAAGACAGATTCGAACTCGTACCACAATCCGTCTATACCTCTAGCTCAGCTGATATTTGACCTTAGGTGGCTGGCTACATGGACCCTCGGTGAACCGTGATCTTCTTAATTTAGTCGATGTATTCTTCAATTAAGTAAAGATTCATCATGCCGAGGGAATGAGATTATTATATACTTCATATCGAAAGCCTTAAAATATAGAACTATCGCTTTGGGACGTCTTTCTTTAAAACTTATCGGAGGAGGGGGGCAGCTTGTCCAAGCTCAACTTTCAAACCTCAGAAAAGAAAAGATTATCGGATGGTTCATTGAGGCAACGTGTGAACTATCACGAGGTGAAAAGCATGGAAACAAGTTCGTTCTTCCGCGATGAACTCTCACTTAGTCACAAGAGCCAGTGGCTATACAGACTAAAGGTATCTTTTGTTCTATGCCTCATCTGGAATCCTAATACGAACATTTGGTACTTGTAAAGAGTATTGGTACCTACCTACCGGCATCGCCGTCTCGAGACGTGACCTTGTGACAAATATTTCTTTTCGATACGGGAGGCGTAGATACAAGGAATGATATTTGTAGATATTTGTAATGTAGGAGGAAGCGAAGTCAGAGCCAGTAACCGGTAAAACTCTTCTGATTACATTGAAGATATGTGTCACAGTTCCTAAATCAGACACCGACAAGAGATAATAATGGCCGCAATGGCCTCGGTGGTAAATCTTTTCAGCTGGACTAGGGCGTAAGCCATCGTACGGGCATATTAGTCCTTTAGCCATAAGCTGATTTTTAGTTGACTTTCAAGATAAATATGTGTATTTTTCTCTCGAGATCTTGTCTGAAGGTCATATCCATCTATCAACACTTAGCCTCATTGCTTGTCAAGCTTAAGGTTTTCACTGATCTCGTCTTTCACTTCGCCTCCTTAATGGCTACTGCATTTGCCCTTATATCGCTCGCATTTTGCTTGCAGATCCAAAGCACATACGCTGCGCCGCACTATGGACTTTTGCAACTTGAATTTGACTATGTCGTCGTCGGAAGTGGGCCGGGAGGCCTTACGATAGCATCTCGACTATCTGAAGATCCAAATGTCTCAGTCGCGGTGATCGAGGCGGGAACATGGTCCGAGAAAGTAACAGGGAACCAAAGCCAAGTTCCTTCATACGACTACTACTACAACGGAAAATCCCCTAATGATACCAATCCATTGGTTGAGTGGGGATTTCTCACGACGCCGCAAGCGGTTCGCCCCCTTTTCCAGTTGAAAATCAGCACTTACTAACAGCTTTTTATAGGGCATCGATGACCAAATTGTGCATTATAGTCGGGGAAAATCAGTAAGTACTAAAATTCTGCGTGCCTATTAGTCTCTTTGCTAATTATCCGCAATTAGATCGGTGGTTGTAGCAATTTAAACTATATGTCCTATATCCACACATCTAAAGGTGCACTCCAAATGTGGGCTGACACTGTGGGAGATGATGCCTACGCCTTTGATAGTGCTTGGAACTACTACCGCAAGAGCATGAACTTCACGCCGCCGAATACTGAGCTTCGATTAGCCAATGCAACAGTCGCATGGGAGACAGTTGAAGCGGCCGAAGGGGGACCGTTGGACGTCAGTTTCTCGTCTTGGGCTCAGTCTTGGAGTACCTGGGTTGCCGAATCTATGGACTCGGTTGGGATCCATAACACGAATGTCTTTCTCAATGGCATCCTCAATGGTTCTGCGTGGTTGGCGTCAACTATCAATCCCCGCAATGGCCATCGTGAATCTGCTGCAACGGCCTTCCTAACGCCATACCTGAGCCGCCCCAATCTTAAAGTCTTCGACCTCACCCTTGCAGAACGCATTATTTTCGATGCCAATAAAACAGCTCGCGGCGTGCATGTTAGTTCTGCCAACGGAACGCGCACGATTGGGGCAAGGCGCGAGGTCATCGTGTCGGGCGGCACGTTCCAGTCGCCACAGCTTCTACAGGTATCCGGCGTCGGCCCGACCGAGCTTCTTACTCAACACAACGTTACTGTTATTGCGGATCGACCAGGTGTAGGCCAGGGTTTGAATGACCACATATTTTACGGCATAGCCTATCGTGTAAATGTTGAGACTGTGTCAGCACGCATGTATGGCGATGCTAACGCCATAGCCATCGAGCAATTCAACGCAAATGGCACTGGGCCGTTAGCAAGCCCCGGCGGTGACTACGTCGGATTTGAGAAGCTCCCTCAGGATATACGACAGGAATTCTCACCTTCCACAGTGAACGAGCTCTCTTCTCTCCCCGATGACTGGCCGGAGATGCAATATCTCTCCCTCCCTAACTACGTTGGAAACTTCGAGTCCGCAAGTATTGGTTCCCCCAAAGATGGGTATATGTACGCAACTCTACTTGCTACTCTAATCGCTCCATCCTCGAAGGGTAGCGTTAACATCTCTTCTCCTCGGATGAGCGACCACCCACTCATTAACCCCAACTGGCTTACGACTCAGCGAGATATTGACTTGGTGATTGGCGGATTTAAGCGACTTCGTCAGATACTTGAGTCGCCAGTAATGGGAAATGTCACCATTGGCCCCGAGTATTATCCAGGATACAATGTAACGACCGATGAGCAGATCCATCAGCAAGTAAAGGAGAGCTTTAACACCATGTATCATGCTAGCTCGACTTGCAAGATGGGTCCATCGAATGATGACTATGCTGTTGTAGATCAACATGCTCGGGTGTATGGGGTTAGCAACTGTAAGCTCATTTCGTCGCTTAGAATTAAGATTGCTATTAACAATGCAATAGTGAGGGTTGTTGACGCTTCTGTCTTCCCATTCCTGCCGCCTGGTAAGATTTCCTGCCTAAGCTACCCCTTCTACCCTCTTGTGCTAACTATCTAAACTTACAGGTCTTCCTCTGGCCACTATTTGTAAGTTATGAGACTGATTATACCGAGACGATGATGAACTGATACGCGAATAGATATGCTGGCTGAAAAGATCGCTGAAGATATAAAGAATGGACATTAGGGCTTTTCTTTTTGTTCCGCTGAAATATGTGTGCTGATTTAAAGCTTTGGGTAGTAGATATTGATTGTGATAGAACGGTGTCCGAGTATTATAGACTAACTTCCCACTCTATCTCTAATTTGTGCCCTTTTATCTCGGCGTTAAACCATTCGATTATCTCAATGTTTTCTTGGCATGTCTTAGAGTAGTCTAAAACATCGCTCTCAGCCAACGCTTTCACTGCCTGTAAGAGTATTTGTTGAGCAAGGTTCTTCCCTATGCAAGCTCTAGATCCAATGCCGAACATAAACAGGCTCCTTTCCATGCCCAGTCTTCGTAATCCCGAGTCTTGGCCCTCATCAAGCCATCGTTCTGGGTAGAAGGAAAGGGGATCTGGAAACACTGCGGGATTGTAATGTAACACCGAGGCTGCTGCACCCACAATAGTACCCGGTGGTATATGGAAACCTCCGACGTCAAGTCCATCTGCAGGTACAACACGAGTGAGGCGACTAGGGTTGGCCATACCTAGCCGTAATCCTTCCTTGACAACTGCCCTTAGATATGGTAGCTGGTATACGTCATCAATACCACCTTTAACTTCCCGTTGCAAAGTGTGTAGAACGTCGGGCCTCTTCATCAAGTGGAAGATAATAGTCGCGAGCATGACTGCTGTAGAGTCTGCTCCGGCAAATATGACAGCTTTACACTGTTCTTTAACTTCTGTGGGATGAAGTCCAACTTGCAGCAGCCTTGCCTGATAAGAGTCTGAGCTTTTCTCGTTGATGGTCTGAGTTACAAGACGGGTTGCGTATCTGTCTAGATTGATGATAGATTCAGAAGCCTCCTTGTTCGAACTGATATACATGGAGACAGCATAAACAATGCCGAAGAGCCAGTGAGGCAACAACGAGAAGCGTGCGAACGCAACAATTTGGAAAATGAAGGGATTGATGCTAAGATGTGTGTTTAGGCGGGCCTCTATCGGAAGGTTTTCGTCTTCAGTGAGCCCACCGTAGGGCTCGCCCAGTAAATATCCGCTAACCGCGTCGACGGAGAGACGAGCGCAGAGATCGAGAATGTCAACCCTTGCGCCGCGTAACTTTATTGCCGCTGCCTTGAAGTCTTCAAGGCGCTTCAAGAACCTAGCTATAGATTGGTTGATGACGCCGTTAGGTTGACAGGCTAAACGTAGCCGACTAAGGGCGAAGAGAGGAGCTACTGGTTTCGCACGCACATCGCGGTAAGATGTATCAACCGCGGAGAAGATAGAGACGATAGGTCCGAGATTGAAGTTTTGATATCTATCATCTTTTAGGAACCCACCACCAGCTACGTAAATTGGATGGATGCTGGAACTATCGGAGATGGACAAGCCGTTTGGTGATATTCGTAACACGGTTGTATTGTACTTTTGGTGGTAGTGACGAAGGACCCGACCTTCGATTCCCATGTAGGTAACTGTATACATGAAAATGGACGATACTCGTCCTAACAACGGTCCAGGGATTTGGCTAAGGGGATGAAAATACAATCGGTAGATAGCAATAAACAGTGTTATAATTAAGGCAATGAGCCCTAAATTCATCGTACTCATGCTGGATGCTTTGAAGTGTTTCTTTTTGACAGGTATGGATAGGGACGATGGGATCTTCTGACACAGAATCCTCACGACGGCTGCTATTTACTAGAAACATATCAAACATGCATACCTAGGTAGGTACATATCTAGTTATAATTTTAACTCCAATTTATTCTAGGTTGTAAAGCCCGATCAAGTGAAACAGTTCATCCCACATTTCTACGTTAAACCTACCCCTCCCACCTAGAGCATGGCAGGAATAGATAACACTGTGGCGTGAAGGATATATCGTGACACAACTGTTGCTGTCTTACTCGCATTACCTAGGTATGAAGTGGATACATAAGCAGCCTCCTCGGATAGCCTACTTGGATATCGGCCGTAGGTAGGAGGTCATAATCGTCCGAGATTTAGACAGATAGGCCAGTTCCGCTCCTACAAAGACTATATACTTGAGTAGGTAGTTGGGACACACCAACGATTGTGAGATACCGTAGCCAGAGGACGAAACAATATAGGCACAAAATCATTTATGAGTCGAAGCATTTACTGAGACCTTCTGTATGCCCGTCTACGTACCATTATAGTAGAAGCATTAGTCCGAAAGACATAAGATGATGGCAACTACTTCCCCCACAACTGCGACTCTAGCCCGAAGCTTGAACGCTATCAAGCTAACTGAATTTTCGAATGAAATCGAACGCATCCAAGCCCTTCAAGCCGCTTATGCGCTCATTGGCCGCCTTGAAACTCCCTGGGAGACCATTGTGAGGCTAGGCATGAATCAAGTGTGATCACCCCGTCCGAATCATCGGCACTACATAATGACACAAGGTTATAGCCGGCCCTCTCGGCGAGCCTGAAGGTTAGCAAAGACCTAGAGCTGTTCGAAAAATGGCATGGGCGTGATGATGTGCCTATGACCAGCTCCCAGGTGGCAGCTATGGTCGGCGCTGACGATGCTCTCCTTGGTCAGTCTATAATTAGCACAATCCCGTATTCTTGCTTTATTCTTTCACGTTGAGAAGGTGTATAGTAACTTGGAATCAGTACGCTTACTACGCCACTTGGCGGCGAATCATATGCTTGAAGAGCCTTCTGAAGGCATGTTCAAACCTACACCGTTCACTCTTTCACTTGTGGCGCCTGTCTTTGGGGAGTGGATTCATTATATGTATGTATTATGTTTTACGTGCGTCGCCTTGTGTTGATACCAATACCTGCTTTATTAGATACGACGCCATGATTCCTTGCTTCTACAAGATGCCCGAGTACCTGTCGAAAACCGGCTACAAGAATCCTGTGGACCCAGCGAACGGTGTATTCCAATTCGCCAAGAACTACAAGGGAGATCTGTTTCAGTACTACGACTCGCACTCGCGCGAGGGTCAATCGTTTAACCATGTCATGGGTGCAGTCATGGCGCAGCAGGCTAGCTGGCTGGACATAATTCCTCACGATAGGATTGTCGCAGACCACCTTAGCGGGCAGCCGCTGGTGGTCGACGTTGGGGGGAACATCGGTCACGATCTTGAACGATTCCGAGAGGCCCATCCAGAGACAGCCACAGATCTCTATCTGCAGGACAGGGCCGAGGTCATCCAACATTCAAAGTGCCCGGACCCCGTCAACAAGATGGCCCACGACTTTTTTCAGAGCCAACCGATTCAAGGTAAGACGTCTAAAAAGACATTCTATAATACATGACGACTTGACCTAACGCTTAGGGCTATTTTATAGGTTCGCGTGTGTATTATATGCACGGGGTCCTACACGACTGGCCTGATGAGCAGGCATGTAATATTCTCAAGATGACTAGAGAGGCGATGCGGCCGGGGTATAGCAGGCTTCTAATACACGACCATGTTGTTCAAGAGCAGATGGCACATCCGCATACAACATCATATGACTTGACCATGATGGTCAAAATTGCAGGTCAGGAGAGGACAGAATCGCAGTGGACCAAGCTTCTACGTCTTGGTGGACTGAAGGTCGTAAAGATATGGAGGTCGCCCCTGGCAGTGCAGGGCATCATAGAGGCTGAACTAGCCGAAGAAGCTGTGTCGTCTTAATTATCATAAGTCTTTAACACAGAATTGATATTTGATATCATATTTAACAGTTGATAGTTGATGGGGATAAATACAAGGCTATCAACTAGCCCTACAGGGTTAGCTATGCTACCCTACTTATTCAATTATTAGATAAATACCTAGGTAGTTGGAACTTACCCTCCTAGTTATACGATATATCATTACCATGCTCGTACAATACCCTTATTCTTTAGTGACCTTTGATACGTACAGCGCGTTGCGCTATTGCCCCTTACAACAGCAGTTAACACGGCTGTTCAATGTCCCATACAAACCGTAATATAGTTGATAGGTATTATACTTAATATTTGATATTATATTGCCCTATCTGCCACACATAAATCACTACCACCTCCATCATCCCGTGTACATGCCATCTTGCCATGGGAATTTTTAAGTCCCTTATACATCCGAATGAAGTAGACGTTGTAATACCCAATGACGTGGCAAAAAAAGGGAAGTGAATTAATTCGTTGCTAGACTTTAAGTTACACACAATTCGCAAAAGTCCGATATATCCTAGCCCCGTAAATCCCGAGGCCGAAAAGAGAACGTTTTTTATCGTCTAACTATGATCTAAATACCTAACTATCTTATCCTTTAAGTCGTTTGGTTTTCTCATAAATTACGGCCACGCCCTCCTACTAGTTCCACTTACCTTTTCCCCCCAAGATCAACTTCAAGTCCAAACTCAGCTCAATTCTCAATCAATTAAACCGAATCATCTACCAAAAAAATCCGTCATGGCCTCATTCCCGTACAAGAAGGTGCTCCTTATCGGTGCCACTAGTGGCATCGGCTTGGAGCTCGCCGAACAGCTCGTGCTGAAGGGAGTCTATGTCATCTCAGTCGGCCGTCGCCAGAACCGCTTGGATTCTTTCATATCTGCTCACGGAAGCTCTAAGGCAGCTGGTTTTGCATTTGACATTGCCGAAATCGACAAGATCCCCTCGTTCGCCGAGACGTAAGTCTCCTTAGGCCTTAGACCCCTAACCTAACTACTTGCACTTTGCCCTATCATACTTACCATCCACATGTTGTGTGTAGTGTCATCAAGCAGCATCCGGATATCGACTGTATCGTTCTTAATGCCGGTGTGCAATACGTGATGGATTTCAGCAAACCGCACACCGTAGACATCGCCAAGATTCAGAACGAAATCAGCATCAACTATGTTGCGATAGTTGCTCTTACCCATGCCTTCGTGCCTTTCTTCCAGGCAAACAGCATGGACAAGGAAGTGGCCTTCATATAGTAAGATTCGTTCGACTTATATGTAGTTATCCGCCCCCCGTGCTAACAATTTAAAGCACCACTACGAGCCTGATGTCCGTGCCCTACCCCATGGTCCCTAATTACTCGTCGTCTAAGGCTGCGCTACATGCATTCATTCTCTGCATCCGTGAGCAATTCAAACAGAAGCCCGAGTCCAAGATCAACGTCGTTGAGCTTGTTGTCCCATTGGTTCAAAGTGAGTCCGAATCACTAGATTCAAATTAAGCCGTACAAATGATAAATCTTATCAACTAACTTAATGTGCAGCTGAGCTACATGACGGCCAGCCTGGGTGGAGCCAGGACTTCAACCCCGGTATGCCAGTGAAGCAGTTTGTGAGCGAGTCCATAGCAGGTTTTGAGACCAAGGAGGAGACGGTCGCAATTGGTCAAGCTAAGCAGGTTTTTGACGAGTTTGAACTCGAGAAGGGTCGTCGTGTCGGCCCAGTTTGGGAGATTATCAAGAAGAACATGGGCAAGGCACACACCTTTGGCTAAGTGCCTGTATCGACGATGCCTTGACGGGAATAAAAAGTGCTATGTCCAATGCAATTATTAGGGATAAATACAAGACTACCAAATAGTCCCACAGGGCTAGCTATACTACCTTATTTATACACTCATTAGGTAGATAGCTAGCTAATAGAACTTACTCTCCTAATCATACAATATACTATTACAATACTCCCAAAATACATAGCCGCCAAAGCCAACTGCTAATGCAGCACATGCAAGCTTTCTCTCTGCCATGCATTTCCCTAAATCAAAGAAGATTTACATTTGTCTCTACTTTGTTTGCCTTACTTGTTACGATGTAGGTATCAGGCTTTTGAGGATTCGACCACCGTATAATATTGCTTGTGCGACAGATGGTGGGCGGTCAGCAATACCGGGCCCGGAGTTAAGGCCTAGTCTTAGGACCCGAACCACCATATATGCCTAGTATATAGAGGCCGAGCTGACTATACGCCATCGCGCCGAAGTCGCGAGATAACTACGGGACTTTGAGTTGTTCACAAAGAGGTGGGTGTGAGACTATTGTATGCAGACAGCGAGTTCCACAAGTCAGATATGAACTTGACCTGACTCGGGCCTGGCTTGACCGGGCCTGGGTAGGCCCTTTTTTACGTATATTTACCCAGTATTTACCCAGATTAGGTATAAAAAAAAAATATTTGGTAGGTAACCAGATAAGTTGAAAATGTTAAGGCCCACTTTATAGCAAATTTAAAAGATATGATTGATAAAATAACAATTAATTAAAATTTAATTGTTATTTATTAAAACAATCGGTAACGTTATATAATCGGTAATGCCGTATAATCGGCGGTTATTTTAACACATTTTATAAAGTTTAATTAATTTAAAAAAAAACTTATATATTAATAAACTTTTAAAAAGATTTTATTTAAATTAAAAAGATTATAACTTTATTATAAATAAAATAATATTATTATTAAATTTAATATTTTAAACTTTATTATTTTTATATATTAATACTTTTTAATTAATAACGTTAATTTATTCCATTTTTTATTTTTATTTTATTATTTATTTAAATATTAAATTTAAAACATTATAATATTTAACGTTTTTATTATTATAATAGTTAATAATAAAACCGTTAATAATTATAAAACAATTTAAAATAAAATTTTTATATAAAAAAACTTTATTACCGTTAATAATATATAATTTATTTTACCATATATTACCGTTAATAAAATTAAATATATTATTAACGTATGGTTTTATATAACCGTTAATTTAAACATTTTAAAATATAATAATTATTTAATTTTTATTAAAAAAATTATTAATAAAAAAAATAAAATAAATTTTAAAAAAAAAAGAAAATATAATTTTACCATTATTATAATAAATAAAAAATTATTAAAAAATTTAACGTTTTTTTAATTAATAACATAAAAAAATATATTAAAAATATTAAAAAATCTTATTATAATTTATTTATTAAAAAAAAAACTAACGTTAAAATTATTAACTTTAATTTTAATAATAACATTAATTTTATTTAAAATATTAAAAATTAAATTTTTAATTAAAATTTTAAATATTTTATTATAAAAACTTTAAATAATTTTAAATAATTATTATTTAAATATATTAACATTTATAATATACCGTTTACCGTTATTGTAAAAAATAAATTTAAAAATTTATTCGTTTTTTATAACCATATTTTCGTTAATAAAATAATATTATAATTTAAAACCATTATATTTTATTAATTAAAAAACTATTTTAAAATAATATATAATATTATTAAATAATAATTTTATAAATAAATAAAATTTAAAATTTACTTTTTTTTTAATATATAATAATTATTTAATAAAAAGATTATATTAATTATAATAATATATTATATTAATAAAAACTTTAAATATAAAACATAATTAATTAAATTATGTTATATATATAAAAATCATATAAATAAAAATATAATATATTATTTAATTAACATAATTAAAACTTATTAAATATAAAATAAAATAAAATATTATATTTTAAATAATATAATATATAAACATTTATTTTAATTAATAATAAAATAACAATTTAATTAACTTAATTTTTAATTAATAACAAAACTATTAAATATTTTTTTAAATATAAAAATAAAACTTTAACAAATAATAAAATAAATAAATTAATTAAACATTACCGCATACGTTATTTTAACCATATATTTAATATTATCGCTTTTAATTTCATTTTTAAAAAATCAGAAAATAATACATTAAAATTTATTATTTTATTAATTATTTAAAAGATTTATTAATTAATTATATATATCTGTTAAAACTTATAATAATAAAATATTTTTTATAAAATAATAAAAAAAGTTTAAATTAAAATTATTATTAAAAAAATAATTAATTTTATTAAAAAAACAAATTTAAATAAAAATGAAAAAATCTTTATATTTTTATTAATTAACGGTTTTTTTCCTATTAAAAAAATATAAAATTTAAATAAAAAAATAATAAAAATATAAAAATAAAATATTATTAAAATTTATAATAATATTAAATAAAATTTAATATTTACCAAAATTAATAATTATTTACGGTTTAAAAAAATTATAAATACTTTTTATTATAATTAACACATATTTTTTAATACAGTAATAAAATTTTCAAATAATTATAAAATTATAATAAAAAATTAAATTTATTTAAAAAAAATATATTAAATTTTTTAATTTTTTAAAAAAATAACGTTATAATATAAAAAAAAAAATATTTTTTTATTTAATATAATATTTTTAATGTAAAAAATTTAAAATTATTTATAAAAATTTTTAATTAAATATAATTTAATAAAAAAAAATTAAATATAAATTAAAATTTATAATTTTTATTTAATAATATTATAAATTAATAAAAAATACTTTATTAACATATAAAATTAAAAAATTAACTTTAAAAAATTTAACTTTTAATAAGTTTTTTAAGTTATTTATATTTATTTTTAAACGTTTAATTAATAAACTTTAAAACGCGTATAAAAAACCATTTAACGCGGTAAAAAAACGTAATATCATTTTTTAATAACCTAAAAATAATAACGCATTAACGGAAATATTAAAGCAAATATATTTAATTTAAACCGAAAAAATATTAAAAAAATTGCCGTTAAATTGTAATAAATTTATTAAAAATTTTAAAAATATTAAAATTTATATAATATAACGGTTTTATATTAAATTATTATTATATTTTATTTTAATAAAAAAATAAAAGTTTTTAAAATTAATTATTTAAAATTAATAATAAACGTTAAAAATAAAATCCAATTATTATAAATAAAATATAAATATATATTAAATAATAATATTAATTATATTAAAACCGAAATATTTATAAAACTTATAATAAACTTTAAAAAATTAATAAAACCATTTAAATTAAAAATATATAATAATATTAATATTAATAAAAAAAATAAATTTAAAAGTTATAATAAATTTGAAAAATATTTAAATATATTTAAAATTAAATATATTAAAATAAATGGCATTTTTATCGATTAATAAAAAAAAAATCGCAAACAATTTTTTCAATTATATTAATTAATTTTTGATATATTAACCATTTTTATAATATTATTAAAATATAAACGCATTTTTAACCAATATAAATTAACAATAACATTGTAAAAATAAAACGTTAAAATTAAAACATTAAAAGTTATTTAATATTTAAAATATTAATATATTAATAATAAAAATAAATTTTAAAAATTTATAAAAAAGCCACATAATATAAAGATAAAAATTAAAAATAAAATAAATAACATATTAAATAAAATAGTTTTAAAAACAATAATTATAAACAATTTATTAAATTTGGTAAATTTAATAAATTTAAACAATTTTAAATAATTATTAACACATTTATAACATACAATAATTTTATAATATTATAAAATGGTATAAAAATAAAGTATAAAAAAAAAATTAAAAAAGTTAAAAATGTAAAAAAAAAAGTTAAATAAAATAAAATAACCAATAATACAAAAACTTTAAGTAAATTTATATAAAATAATAATGTTAATAAAAAAAATAAAAGTGGTAAAAATAAAATTTAAAAGATTTAAAAAATAAAAAATAAAAAATAAAAAAAATAATAATAATAAAAAAAGTAATAATAATAAATAAGGTAAAAAAAGGATTAAAAGATTTAAAAAATAAAGTTATTTAACTTGTATATTTTAATAACAACGATGTATTTTTTAATGTTTTAAAAAGATTAAAAAAAAAATGGTAAAAAAAAAAAATTAAAAAAGTTAAAAATAAAAAAAAAAAAGTTAAATAAATAAAATAATTAATAATATAAAAACTTTAAATAAACTTATGTAAAATGGCAATAAAAGCGATAAAAGTGGTAATTAAAATAATAAAACTAATAAAAGTGGTAAAAATAAAATTTAAAAAATCCGAAAAATTTAAAAAATAAAATTATTTAATTTATATGTTTTAACAATAATAATGTATTTTTTAATATTTTAAAATAATTAAAAAAAAAGTTATAAAAAGAAAAATTAAAAAATATAAATAAAAGTAAAAAATAACCAATAATATAAAATAAATAAATAAATTTATATCGTAATATGTATTTTTTTAAATACATATTAAAATACATATCGTAATACGTATTATATAATAAAACTATCCGTAATCGTGTTTTTAAAATCACGATAATTTTTTAATGTTTTTAAAAAAAAGTTATATAAAAAAAAATTTAAAAAAAATGGTAAATAAAAGTGGGTGGGAATATAGGTTAACCCCCCCGAATCAGCCAATCATATCGCCGGAAAAATTTTACCCGGGGTTTTGCCGGTATCGATAACGTAAATGCCTCAGGCCAGTCTCACAATACGGCCAGGTAAGCTTTAAATTCGAACGTATCTGACTTGACTCGTATCGAGCCAGGTATATACGATTATCTGACTTGACCTAACTCGTGGAACTCGCTATATGCAGATCTTGAACAAGCTCACCGATGGCACTGTGCGTCTTTGTTTACAGATACAAGGACTCGTGATGCAGCATTACTAATTGTAATGGCATCTAGATGAGTCTCGTAATATCGTTATTGATTAAATCTATGTAAGGATTACGAGAATTAGGTAATTATGTGTACAATTATAGTCATTCTGTGCTCCACCAGTGGCTGGTCCGTGCATAGCAGCGGATCCACAGCACTGCATTCTGCATTCTGCATTCTGCATTCAGTTTTGGCCGGTCAATTCTTGCAGCGAGAGAAGACTTGATTTATGTACCTGATATAGTCACAGCATATATTAATTGATGACATTTCAGCCACTACCAAATTATCTTTTGGTCAGGTGGTATATCTAATATCTACCTAAGACATTAGGTCTATCTCTCTACCGGCCTTCTCCGGGCATAATCATTTCTAGTACGTGGACCTATTCATGCAAGAATTGAGCAACCCCCGCGTTTTGAGGCTCTTATAATACTACCTGCGTAAGCACGGGAACGTCGCATTGTAATTCCCATTGCAATTACAATCAAAGAAACCCGCCATGCGCGCACGTAGATTCCATTGTGGTGGAGGTATATGAGGGAGTACAAGTACGGAGATGATTCCGGATGAGGTAAATGGTTTAAATGGTCCCATTCGAGATTTGTTGGTTATTCATTCCCGCACCAACACAACCAATCAGATCATCGGTAATGTAGTCAATTGCCTCATCTAACGTCCGAATAAGTACGTATCGGCTGTGTGACAGTATTGCTGTCTGTCAAGTCTAATTAAAAATTGGTCCAAACCAATAGAACTGTCACGAGGCGGAACCAAACAGCATGGAAACAAGTTCGTTGTTCCGCGAGGAACTCTAACCTAACTATGGGAGTCTATGTCTATCATATTGAACGTATCCTCTGTTCTAGATGTCTCATCTAGAATACTATGCCGAGCCCTAAAATTACCAGAAAGGGTAACAGATTTAACTATAAAAATTTATAAAAGTTTGAAAATACGTATGTTCGTATAGAACTAGAGTGCTGTTAGAAGTATCCCGTATCAATCCTTAATTACCTACTGGCCCTTTCTTTAATTAACGCACAGCGCTAGAAGGGCGCGAGAGTCGATAGACAGCGCTAATAATACCTGCAAGTATACCTTAGGTACCTAACCTATCCAGTAGAAAGGAGCAAGTTCTGATTTCTGCCTTCACTATTGAAAGTCAAGCATAAGGAAGGATAAACAGTGATAGAATTACTCCATCCAATATCTAACCAGTACTAAATAGTTCTGCTCACTACATCCAAGACTAAATCCAAGTTGAGTGGATCTAGCGCATATCGCGCACTCGTTACGTCTGACGAGACCTCAGTTCATGGTTGCTTCTTCAGCTTAGCATAGAAACCTCTCTGCTTGAAGAACCAAGCGTTCTCTACAGTAAACCTTTCTGGATCGACAACTTGCATCTGTGTACCTCGTCAGTAATAACTCAATTTTTATAGCCTACCTTAGGTCAGGTAGCAAAGCAACGCTAGTTGGGTCGGCTCACATCGTAGTTTAAGACAAGGAACGGTACGAGTTTCTTCAACTCTAGCATTCCGATGTGCTTGCCGAGACACACTCGCCTTCCAGCTCCGAACTAAAATTTGTCAGTTCTTGCCTCCATTGTCGTCTACACATCCTGTGATCCTGTTGGAGAAATATGCAGATAGGTAACTGACCGTAAGCACGCTGTGCTCGAGTTGTTTCTTATGCTTTTCACCGCCGACCAACCACCTCTCGGGGTCCCACGAATTAGGATTATCCCCAAATGTCTCTCGATGCCGATTGACCACGTAAGGGTTGCCGCCCACGAGGGTGCCACCAGGCAGATACTTTCCCAGAACTGTCACCCCTTCAGCGGGTACAACACGCTCAAACGGAAGCGCGAAAGGGGGGTGTAGCCGGACGCCTTCCTGAATGCATGCATCCAGATAAGCCAAGCCATATACGTCACCCCACTTAGGATATCGCCTGGGCAAGTTTGCTCCAAGCAGCTCTTGGCGAAGCTTCTCAAGTGTTTCGGGGTGAGTAAGTAGATTATCTGACGCGTGTTAGCTCTGTGTCCTTCCTGTATTACCAAGTCTAAACTGCTTGAGATATTCTCGTATGTAGAGGAGCGGGTGTAATGGAATGCTATCGTGGCCACGGAAGGACCCAAGTAAGGTAGAAAATATCTCCAGTATCAAAATCTGGCCATCGTATATGAAATGGCTTACTGTAAGTTATGCAATTAGTACAATACTCAAATATCTATATTGGACCCACGTAAGGGCTAGGTAGAGAAAGGGTGCATTTTGCTCGGAACATACCACATAACAGTTCTCATAACTGTACCTGCTGAGTCGGAACCTGCAATGACGTTTGAAAATACCCATGCCGTCGGTGCCCTAAAACTATCAGCACCTTGGCCTTAAGTCAGCATATAGCGAGACTTACCAGGAGGGAATTTTGTCATTAGACTGCTGGATTTCGAGGTAGTAGGACAAAAAGTCGCTAAACGGGTGTTCACGTTTCATGTGAGCCTCCATGTCTTGTTTCTTCTCGATAGTCTGTAGCCGTTCTTGGATAGCTTTACCAACGAACTGGAGAATAGACATGCCGGGTGTCTGGAAGAGCCCGTGGACGATCCTATTCTTGTTGATAATTGGATCCAGCCATGTCATCTGCGTCAACTGTTTACGGCCATCATTAACGTAGTCCGGCCGCCCCAGTCTCAACTCAACTTACAGCGGAGTGGGCCTTCATAAAATCGAAGATAGTTGCCAACATGCCCCCAACATCACGGCCTTCGTCAAGGAAACCGTACCTCTTGGAGAAGGACAAGGTCCCCATGACATCGAACGCAAAGTACTGGAGCCAGTCCCCAAAGTTAAAAGTGGCTCCCGTCTCTGAAAAACGCTTGTCTAATTGCTTTTCTAGGCATTCCAGCACTTCCTCGACGAGACCTTCGAATGAAACCACGTTAGATAGAGAGAACAGAGGCGCGATGGGATTCTTGATTAGTTTGTGTATCTGCTCATCCTGCGTATTGAAGACGCCCATCAGCGAACCGCTGTCACGCGTGTAAGGCCTCAGTGTAGCATAGAAATCGCCCTGTGAAGATTGTTCTGTGTTAGAAAAATCGGCACAACCATGCAATACCGCATTCAGATGTTAATTACCTTTGGAAACCCTGGTCTCATTGGATATATGGTCGGGATGGCCTCGGGGTTGCTGATAGATATCATATTTGGACCAATTCGAACTACTTCGCCATATTTCCGGTGAACCTCTTCGTGGATCAGGTGAGCCCTTCCTGTCTTAACCCATAACAATCGCTGTAGATTGGTAAATTTAGCACAGAGAGGCCCAGGGATGTGCCTCAATTTCCACCACGTCCTGAATGCCTGGAAACCAAGTATAGTGCATACCCCCAATATTAGTAATGGTAGGTTGTCATTAGGTAGATAGTCAGCTAGGGGTGTGATGCCTCTCATCATGTTGAATTCGAGTTGTGTCGTCAATGTTGCTGAATGGCTTGGGGAAATAATTGACAGCGTGGAAGTGAAAGTGGGAAGTGACAGAGTCAGGGAGTTTAAGAATTCTCAGGGGGGACCTTGAAGGGACTTCGCGTGCTCACGGAGCGTACTCAGTCAAACACACCCGGCACCAATATACCGAACAGATATCTCCCAATACTGTTATCCGGGGCTACTATTCTCAACAGTAACTTTACTGCATAAGTACCTGTCGGGCGTTAGCCCGGTCGAATGCATGTAAGCCGCGGAAATTCATGCTCTGGTTTCACAATATGATAAACCTACATGTATGCATTTTTGATGTGTTGCGGGTTATCACTGCGGTAAGACAGATGATTCAAGTATTCGACTTTAGTCCTATCCAATAATTTTCATAGGTTACCTAAGGTACTTAGGTAGGTATGTACTAACCACCGCCGACCACTAAGAGTCTTCGAAATATAGGGGTGGTAGTCTATAAGACAGGCTCTTGCTCATCGAAAACTGACTTCTCTCAGCATCTTTATACTATCTCGCAAGTCTCAACACTATTATTTCGTTCCCGCTCCAACGTTATGGATCATTATAGTCCCCAAGAGCTTGACTGCGTCTTATTTGGCCCAACCGTGGTTCAATGGACTCAAGAAACTCTCAAGAGTATGCAACACATGTTGCAAAAGCAACCAGAGCTAAAGTTCCTCCGCGAAGCATTGATAGAACTTCCTTCCCTGTGGCCAATTCTTCAGGGGAGCGATGCTAGTCTTCCTGTCTCAGGACTTGAAGCCCTACAAGAACTATCTGGCTTCGCAATAGGGACTGGCCTACTTGATGTTACGTCCATTTCGAACATCCATCTTGCTTCCTTAACTATTATTTCCCAAGCAACCGAGTTCATTAGTTCGACTGGCCTCCTAAATAGCTATAAAGCCGACGGACAAGGCATCGATCCTTCATGGGAACTTCCAAAGCTTCGAGCGGTTCAGGGATTCTGCCTCGGATTTCTATCTTCTGCCGCCGTAGCGTGCTCAAGGAATTGTATGGATCTCGAGAAGAACTTTTCCGTCGCAATACGCATTGCTGTATGTATCGGCATGGTAGTCGAAGCAGAAAATCTAGCACATAGACATGAGGAACGTATGGTAGCGCTCTCTGTTAGTTGGAAGACAGACACGGACAGAACCTATTTGGAGGCCTGTCTCGACATGTACCCTAGGGTGAGTCACTAATAATAGTCTAGACCATGACCTCAAAGACAAATTACTAATGTTTAAGGCCAGGCCTATGTATCCTGCCTCACAGACGAAAGATGTATCACTATTACCTTGCCAAGAGACGATCTTCCCGGCTACATCAGCCAAATTCGACAGGCGAGTATAACGACCCAGCCTATCGGACTGCATGGTGGTTTTCACAACGAGAGATACGCCCGAGCTGCCAAAGCACTTGGGGATCTTTTTAAAGATCAGAGCATTTTCCAGCTGCCCGATTCTAGCGATCTCATGTACGCCTTGAGATCCAATGGCGACGGAAAGGTGCTCAAGTCAGGGCGTCTGCATGACATTGCCATAGACACAATCTTGTCCAAAAGATGCCATTGGTTCCAGGTAGTCAAAAATACCCTGGAGGAGCTACCTCCTAATGTTTGCCTACTCCCTATTGGCAAAGGGTCCTTCGTACCTAGATCATTATCAAGCAAAAAGAGGATTCCCAATGATCTCACCTCGCAAGGATCCTCCGTTTCTCCGGTCAACTTCCCCAGTAGCCCAACGGAAGAAATTGCAGTCATCGGGATGTCTTGTCGTTTTCCATCTGCTAACTCGTCTGTCGAGTTCTGGCAAATGCTCTTGCAGGGGAAAACCAGTATCGGCAGAGTATCTCCTAAGCGGTTCGACACATCTAATATCAACCGGGAACCGAAGGATATGAAGTTTTGGGGGAACTTTCTTGACGACCAAGTTGCTGCAGCATTCGATCAAAGATTCTTTGGTCTACTAAGCCTCGAAGCCAAGTCCATGGATCCGCAACAGAGACTCGTCCTCCAAGTTGCATACGAAGCCCTTGAATCTGCGGGTTATTACAGCCCAGCCCCCCGAACCTCGGAAGTTGGGTTCTATCTCGGGGTAGGTTCTGTGGACTACGAAGGTAATGTGGCATCTAAAGATGCAACCGCCTTTTCTGCCCTTGGAACTCTTCGGGCATTTCTCAGCGGGCGAGTAAGTCATCATTTCGGGTGGTCTGGCCCTTCCCTCACCATTGATACGGCTTGTTCGTCTTCTGCTGTAGCCATTCATACAGCCTGTCTGGTAAGCTCTCGCAACATTTACTTCCTTGAACTATTTAACATGTAGCTTATACTTTGATAGGCCCTCCTTACCAATGAGTGCTCCATGGCCTTGGCAGGTGGTGTCAATGTCATCACCTGTCCAACATTATACCAAAACTTGGCCGCAGCGTCCTTTCTGAGTCCAAGCGGGTCATCCAAAGCCTTTGATGCGTCCGCTGATGGTTACTGCCGAGGAGAAGGCGCCGGTATTGTCATTCTGAAGCGCCTATCCGAGGCGCTCGCGGATGGAGATCTCATATTAGGGGTAATTTCTGGTTCTGCCGTGAATCAGGGATCTAATTGTTCTCCCATTACCGTTCCACATTCTGAGTCTCAAACCAAGCTTTATCGGCAGGCATTATCACGCGCCTCGATAAATGCCCAAGAGGTGACGTACGTGGAGGCACATGGCACAGGTGAGTAGAATGTCAAACACCAATAATTATTGATGTTAACTCGTTATAAGGCACTCCAGTCGGCGACCCTATTGAGTACGAGAGCATACGTATGGCGTTCGCCAGTGCATCTCGTCCAAGCAAACTCTTCTTAGGTTCGGTTAAAGACAATGTAGGCCATACCGAGGCAGCCTCCGGAGTGACAGGCTTGATCAAGTGTTTACTGATGATGGAACACGGCATCATCCCTAAACAGGCCAACTTTTGCAACTTGAATCCCAAGATAAAGGAGTCGGAACAAATTGTAATTCCACAATCGACACAGTCGTGGCCGGGTCGCCGTGTGGCTCTTATCAACAACTATGGTGCAGCAGGCAGCAATGCAGCACTTGTTCTGAGGGAACACGTGCCAGTGAGTCAGGGCAGTACTATTAAAGAACTTGAACTCAGTATACCATGCCCGTTGCTTGTAGCGGCAAAGTCTCAGGAGAGCCTCGCGTTATATCTGGATGCTCTGAGAGAGTGGCTCCCAGGGTATGCAGGATCCTTTGCCAATTTAATGTTTAACATTGCGCGGAAACAGAACCCATCATTCCATCATCGGTTAGCCATCACGGCAAGAAGCGGTTCAGGGCTCATTTCGCAACTCGACGCGCGGTCATCTAAACTATCAGAAAGAAATAAGCTAGATGGTAAAAAATATCCAGTCATTCTATGCTTCGGTGGCCAGAATGGACGTATCGCCACTATTTCCAAGGAAGTCTACGATAATTCGAAATCATTGCAAAATCACCTGGTAAGTCTTACAGACAAGTGTAGCATAAACATTGATATTTATATCTTACTCACAGGACAAATGCAACAAAGCATGCCAATCCCTTGGCCTTCCGAACATATATCCCGGGATCTTCGATGATAAACCCCAAGGAAACCTCGCCGTTCTTCATTGCACCCTCTTCAGCATCCAATATGCCACGGCTATGACTTTGATTGACAGTGGAGTTGAGATAGACACCCTAGTCGGACACAGCTTTGGACAGTTGACAGCCTTGTGCATCGCTGGCTCAATATCGTTAGGAGATTCTTTGAAATTCATTTCAGGTCGCGCTCATCTTCTAACAGATGCTTGCGGGGACGAAGCCGGTCGTATGATTTCGGTAGAATCGAGTCTCGACGATTTAAACGCAATAATCAGCCTAGTCAACTCGAAACCGGGTTACCGCGTGGAAATATCCTGCTATAATGGACCACGGAGCTTTGTGTTAGGTGGAAACGAAGAATCGATGAAATGCCTTGAGCAACAGTGCACAACCAGGGGCACGATATTTCACAAGCTAAAGAATACCCATGCTTACCACTCATACGTTGTTGACCATATCCTTCCAAAGCTGAGGACGCTAGCGAGCTCCATCAGTATTAAGGCGCCTGCAATGCGGATGGAGACGTGCTCCAAAGGTAGCACGTGGACCAAGTTCACTTCAGAGGAGATTATACAACATACACGCGATCCGGTATATTTCGCTGACGCGGTGCAAAGAATTAACCAACGAGTTCCCTCGGCTGTCTGGATTGGGGCTGGTTCTGCATCGCCTGTCATCCCAATGGCTCGTCGTGCCCTCGGATCCAGTGCAGAAGCAGAAAACGTATTTGTCCATCTTAATCTGAGTAGCTCCAACGCCCTCTCTCAGCTCTCAGATGCAGTTTGTCAGCTATGGGAAGCTGGATCAAAAGCCCAATATTGGCCATTCCAGGGGTCTCACGGTAACTGGAAAAATATTAGTGTCCCCCCTTACCAGTTTGAGAAAGTTCAACATTGGATTGACTACAAACCTCCATCCGCCGGGAACAAAACTATCACAAGTCACGATCTAAGTTATAATAAGCCCTTGCTCATGAGAGATTCCGATAAAAAGCTTTTCATAGTCAACAAAGCCAGTGGATCTTTCGACCTTGGGGTACGCGGCCATGCCGTAGTGAAGCAAAGCCTGTGTCCAGCTTCCATGTATGTCGAACTCGCAGTCATGGCCGCACAAATTGTATTGGGGACCAAGGAGGGGCATACTCCCCAGATCAAGGATTTGACAATGGATGCGCCTTTGGGGCTAGGGCTAGAAAGCCCCCTATATCTGCAGTTATGTGACTTGTCAAATACCTCCTGGGTTTTCCGCGTTTTCACGGGTTCGAAAGAAGGACTACCAGAGACATACCATGCAAGTGGCGAAGTTTGCCTGATTCCATTTGGAGACCCGATCTTAGCAACTCGTATAGAACTCTCCAAGCGCCTCGCCAGGAACGCCCGGACCCAACAAATTCAGGAGTCACCGCAGACATCCACAGTAAGTGGTCCTATGGTATACCAACTCTTCTCGGATGTAGTCAACTACGCCACATACTACCAAGGAGTCGAATCGGTGTCCGCGAAAGGGAACGAAGCGATCGGCTTGGTAAAGGTCCCTGAACGGCCGGTCACGCTGGATCATAGTGATATAGATCCTATTTCGCTTGACAATTTCTTGCAAGTCGCAGGTGTTCATGTCAATTGTCTCTCGGACCGACGGAATAACCAGGTATTCGTCTGTACGAAGATGGAGGAGCTGTTGGTTTCCAAGGCATTTACCCAGAACAAAGTCGTTAACCGATCCTGGAATGTCTACTCGAAATATCACCAATCCCCAGATGAGAACAGCGTGATTAACGATATTTTCGTTTATGACATACTCACTAAAGATTTAATTCTGGTGATTATGGGCGCTACCTTCAAAGGGGTTGCATTCAAGTCCCTAGAGCGAAGTCTTTCGAGATTGAATAAGGCTGGTACGCCGAAAGACCATATATTGACTACCATAGACTCCGGCTATCAATCTCCAGCCATCGAGAGCTTGGACACTCCAACTAGTGACACAAATGATACGACACTAGCTTCAGATAGTGAGGAAACACAGCGAAAGGAGAACCCGACCCTCCAAAAACTACGAATGATGTTTAGCGAAATCATGGAGATTCCGTTGGATGAAATTGGACTGACATCGACCCTTGATGAACTCGGCGTTGACTCACTCATCGCTACGGAGGTACTCGCAGAAACAAATAAGCGATTCAATCTCTCAATCACTGCCGTAGAGTTTCAACAGTTCGGCGACGTGCAATCATTGTACCTTTACATTCAGCCAAATGGGGTTTCGGAAATACCCGCTGTCTCTAGACAACGAGTAGGCGGGTTTAGCCAAGCCCAAACCCAAACTATCGAGGAGTCTATAAACATAGCAGATACGGAAACTGCTTCTCAAGATAACTTCGCCGAATTGAGCCAGGGATACTTCTCGGACGTACGAGGTACAATGAGCAGTTATGCAGACGAGACGGGATTCAGAAACTTCTGCAAAAACGTATTGCCATTACAAAACGAACTTGTCACTACCTATATTATCGAAGCATTCGCCACGTTGGAGTGCTCAATAGCCAAAGTACGAGAGGGTGGTAAGGTAAAGCCTATTCTCTATGAACCAAAACACCAAAAGGTCGTCACTCGACTATATGAGATTCTGGAGGAACAGGGACTAGTCGCGTGCGAGAATGGCGACTACATTCGCACAGCAAAGGCCGTCTCAAGTGCCCGATCTTCGACGCTATACGACTCGATGATCCAACTTTTCCCGGCCCACAGCTCGGAAACGAAGCTGCTTCATACTACGGGGCACAGACTAGCAGACTGTCTATCCGGTGCGGCGAGCCCCCTGTCTCTCATCTTCCAAAACGCCACGGCCCGCTCGTTGCTGGAGGATGTATACACCAACGCGCCGATGTTCAAAGCCGCAACGATGCTCCTAGCCCAGTATTTGGCCGGGTTGCTGCAGCGCTCGGCGGGAAACCGCAGGATCCGCATTCTCGAGCTCGGGGCTGGCACCGGCGGCACTACCAAGTACCTCGTGAAGAAGCTCCAAGCCGCGGGACGCGATTTCACATACACGTTCACAGACCTATCTCCGTCGCTAGTAGCAGCCGCGCGTCGCAAATTTTCTGACTGCCCCTTCATGGAGTACGAAGTCATGGATATCGAGAAACAGCCGGATGCGCGATTTCTCGGTGTCTTCGATATTGTGGTATCAAGCAATTGCATCCACGCAACCAGGGACCTAGTCCTTTCGACAACAAATATCCGCAAAATGCTGAATGCGGACGGCATTCTGTGCCTCGTGGAGCTCACGCAGACGCTGCCCTGGTTCGACCTGGTCTTTGGCTTGCTCGAAGGCTGGTGGCTGTTCAATGACGGCCGTCGGTATGCGCTGGCCGACGAATATCATTGGGACCGTGTCCTACGTGAAGCCGGCTTCCAGTATGTGGACTGGTCGGACAATACGGAACCCGAGTCTGCCATCCTCAGAGTCATTGTAGCCTCAGCTTCGAGCAGGCTGGCTTCGTCGCAGAATTGTACTGCTGATACGATGGAGACAGTGGTATTCAAGCACGTAGACGGCTTAGATCTTCACGCAGACATCTACTACCCAACCGACACAGTGGAGCAGCACAAAAAGCTTCCAGTGGGTGAGATTAATTTGTCCTAATTATCTTAATAATAGGCACCTAGATGACTAACTTCCTCTCCAGCTCTGATGATCCACGGCGGAGGGCATATCATGCTATCCCGCAAGGACGTGAGGCCAGACCAGACAAAGCTCCTCTTAGAAAAGGGGTTCCTTCCCATCAGCATAGATTACAGGCTCTGCCCAGAAACGACTCTACAGGGGGGTCCCATGAAAGATGTAGCCGATGCTCTTAAATGGGCCAGGACGATTCTTCCAAATATGCCCCTTCGGAGGCTGGATATCAAACCGGACGGCGGAAGGGTTGTAAGTATTGGCTGGTCCACCGGTGGCTTTCTGGCTCTATCCCTCGGCTGGAATGCGCCTAGAGGCATCAACGCTCCAGACGCCACCTTGGCGTTGTACTGCCCCAGCGACTACGAGGACGACTTCTGGATGAAGCCGAATATCCCCGCAGGCACGGATGCGGCGGCAGCACAGTTCCGAACTGACGATATATGGGATGGCGTCTTTGAGGAGCCCATCACAAGGTACAATATTGCAGCCAGTAAACGCGCCATCGGAGGCTGGCTAGCCCCGGGTGACTCTAGGAGCAAGGTCAGCCTTTACATGAATTGGCGGGGGCGAACGCTTCACGTTCTACTACGGGGACTAGATCGGGCTACGCGTGTGGAACCGCCGGCGCCATCTCGTTCGTTAATCGAGACAGTCAGCTTATACCCTCAGGTCCGAAGTGGCAGGTACACGTCGCCGAGTTTTCTCATACACCCGAGACAGGACGATTTGATTCCCTGGGAACAGGCGCACAGGACCTACACTGTGATGGCAGAAGCAGGCGTCGAGGCAGAATTACGTGTGTTGGAAGATGTTGGACACCTATTCGACACGGTTCGGGGCTGGGAGTCTAATAAAGCAGCTGCGAGGGCTGTGAGGGACGGCTACGATTTTCTCTGCAGACATGTTGGTCTCTGATGGTGTAAGTATGATAGGACACGGTATTCACACTATTGTGAGATTATGCATACCAAGGTACCTCTTTACCAAAGGTAACCCATCTAGATACACACCCCATTGATGTGCTATGATGATGTAGATTATCTCAGTAGATAATTTTACACATATCCGCCCGAGAGGCGCATCTACAGCACGTGAGATGTCTATAGTACTTCCTTCGAGAGAAACAGAGCTAGAGTCTTGTCTGCCATATGAGATCTTCCTCATCCTGCCTATATCATTGCTCTACCTAGTGGCGGGATTTACACTAGGAGAAGGAAACCCGCCGGACATGCCTTCTAATAACGGGTCAGGACCGCCCCTGTCAGCACCCGAAAATGCCCAGAGGAAATATTGATGCACTATAAGGTAAATACCTAGCATTAGGTACTGTTTGAACTGAGACCTACATGTATGTACCTATAGTATGTGTCAGATGATGAATGCAGTGCTGTAGCAGGCGACCCCTTTTCCTTAATATTGCTACTGCGTGATCTCAGCTGCCTTGAAATCTTGGCAGAATAGCCACCTCGTTCTCTCGCGCAGACCTTTCGCTTGCCAATCATTAATACGCTCGGGAAAGAACGGAATACGTCCCCTCAGTGTCGTATCATGCGCGAGGATGACGAAGACTTCCCTCAAAGCGTCCAACTCCTGGATCTTGTGCACTGTTTCCACAGCAGCGGCATGGTCCGCAAAGACCAGTCCCCGGGGTACACTTAGAAGCGGTTCCCCCGTATTCTTCCATAAGCCCGCGCAAATACATTCCCGCGGAATATGTAAGCGCCCACTCGGTCTGATGATGCCAGGGTGATGGCACGCATCTGCGCCCATGAAGACATACGAGGGGGGATCAGCTGTAGTACGTGCTAATGCGCACATATGGCCAATAGCATGGCCAGGTGCATCGAGAAGGTAGAATGACCCGTCACCGAAATAGTCAAAGGCGTTGAAGCTACCTACGCGAAGCTCGGCACTCGCGAAGGTGATCTCGCGGACCTCGCGCCCAGCTGCATCGGTATCAAGGATGCCAGCATCTGGTTTCGACGGGTACCCGGGCCAAGACGCAGCTTTGACACCAGGCCCAACAACGAGCTGGGTGCTGGGCGGAAACGTAGAAGGATCTCCGGTGTGATCGAAATGATTATGCGACCAGATGATACCCTCGACATCACTACTACGGATTTGCAACCCGCTTACGTCCTTGTCGAGAACCGAGGCAACATCAAGGCCAGTAGCCACTTTAGTGGTGGCTTTAATCAGCTGGACGATCTTGGGCGCATAATTCTCCCAATCTATCCGGACCCCAAGATCGAAAAGCACGTGCCGACTACCGTGAGAGACTAGGAAGCAGTACGTCGGGGCGTGGAGGCCTTCGAAGCCTTTGAGCTTTGTCTCCCAAAATAAGCCCGTCTTGAGATAGAGGAGCGTGTTTCTGCAGAGAAACTGTTAGGTTAGTCTGCGGTATTGCAGTACGGAGCACACATACGTATCGATAATTCTGACATCAACAGTAGAGGTGGATTCCGGGATTGTAGCCATGATAGTCATGGTCAAAACGAGACAGGGGCGATTTTTAAAAACTAAAAACTAATATATTAGCCGAGACGATAGTTCACCTGTAAAAGTACCTGCACCTACTCACACCCCTTTATACCCCATGAGGCGTTTTTACCTAAAATGTTGGCTTACTCTGTGTCACCCCGGATATTTCGTCGTCCAAGAAGCTATCCCCGTGCCTTTGGAGTTATCGCTATTTCCTAGAGTCGGCAAATAATCAGTTTTACCTAACAGCCAGTTTCATTCGCTAATAGACATGTCTCTCCTTTCCTACCCACCAATTTCGAATCAGATCAAGAAAAGAGAAATATCCTGTACAGCTTGCTGTGGACGAACTGAAACAACTCCTTTGCAGAAATGTCGCGACCCAATTCGGTTGACGACGCTAATCAGGGCACAGGGCCTGATACCACGGCGGCATACGCGAGCGATGGAAGCCGCGAAAAAGATAACGAGATTAAAGAGGCGCCAAGCCCTCTACCAGGATCGGAATTCCCAGATGGCGGCAAGATGGCCTGGCTCACTGTACTAGGCTCATGGTTCTGCATGTTCGCGAGTTATGGCTTCATCTCCAGTATGGGCGTCTTCCAGGACTACTATCAGACTCATTTTTTAAGCGACGATTCACCTAGCAACATTGCCTGGATCTTATCCCTCCAGGTCTTCTTCCTTTCGGTTGCCGCACCGTTTGCCGGTTGGTTTTTTGACAACTACGGCCCGAACCTCCTAGTTATTCTCGGGTCCTTTCTACTCGTATTCGGCCTCATGATGCTGTCCCTGTCCACCCAATACTACCAGATCTTCCTCTCCCAAGCTGTCTGTTGCGGTATCGGTATGGGCCTGATTTTCCATAGCGCAGTTAACTCTATCTCCACGTGGTTTCGTCGACGTCGAGGACTAGCTATGGGCTTAGCATCATCAGGATCAGGGGTTGGTGGTGTTGTGCTACCGTGAGATTCCCCTCACGTCACCATCATTTTTTAGGACATCGCTAACTAGCGGGTTAGAATAATGTTCGATCGCCTGAACGAGCAGCTCGGCTTCCCCTGGACGGTCAGAATTATCGGCTTCATGATACTCGGGATGCAGTTAATCGCCATATTCACGGTCCGATCTAGACTTGATCGTAACCCAAGAACCATAGAACTAGTCCAATTCGTTCAGCCCTTACGCGATGGAATATTCGTCACCACCAGTCTGGCATGTCTCTTCGGTATGTTGGGCATGCTTATCCCGTACGACTTTCTCAAGGCTTCCGCAGAGGTCAGCGGCGTCCCAACTAACCTAACCACTTACATTCTACCCATTGTCAATGCCACCAGGTAAGTTATGGCCCTAAGAACCCCAGGGGATATGATATTTACAAAATTGCAATAGCATTTTAGGTCGTATCTTTCCACTGTGGGCAGGAGATTACCTTGGCCCTTTCAACATGGTAATTATCTTCATATTGTATGGCGCTGTCTTAGTACTTGCCCTTTGGCTCCCAGGCGCAGCAAATACCGGCGCAGTCATCGCATTCGCCGCCCTGTACGGTGTGCCTATAGGTCTATTCTCAGCTGCCATACCCGCGTTGGTGGCTAGTATCTCGGATATTAAAGAAATCGGGTATCGTGTCGGGACGACTTTTCTCATCAACGGAATCGCGGGTCTGATTGGCAACCCGATTGCGGGACTCTTGATTGGCGCCGGCTGGACAGAGGGTCCTCAATCATACAATGGGTTACGGCTATTCTGCGGGTTGGCGATGGTCATGGCTGCGCTGTTTTTTGTAACAACTAGGGTGCTTCTTGGAGGATGGAAACTAAATAAAAAGATCTAAGATTTAGGACGTTGCGAGATAAAATACCGAATAGAATGTTATTTTACTATGAAGACTAGAAAGATCCCATAATGCCATTACTTGTGCTGGCTACGTACACTCGCCTATCGCACCCTAGCGGGTGCTGCGTTTTAGTTTAGGTAGGGATTGGCCTTATAATTGGGGATTGATCCGAAATACTTCCGAACAGGCGTATTTCTCTCTTATTTTGGGGTATTTAAGAAGATCCCGGATGGGCTACCGGTGTCTGGGGTGCACTTCGCAGTTGAAGACCGGCTATTCGATCTCGATACCGTGCCAGGAGACGGTGTCATAGTCGAGGTACTGTCTGTGTCACTAGATCCGTACTTGAGAACCCGTATGCGCGACGCCAACATCCCTATTTTCAGTGACCCCTATATTATAGGTAAAGCCATGACAAATATTGCGATTGGCAGTATCCTAAGGTCGGATAACAGCCGGTTCTTCCCTGGCGATGTCATTCACACGGAGCTACCTTTTGCGCAATACGCTTCTCTCACCCCTCAGGAACTCCAAGGCGCTATCAAGATTGACAATCCTTATGATTTAGACTGTATGTTATATTAAAGCCCGCCTCTTTTACTTAAATTTATTTTAGGAACTAACCCTCCTTTAATTGACCTTTTCTCGGGGTTTTTCAAGAGAAGAGTTACTAACGTTCATCATTCACAGTGGACTACTTCACCGGTCAGCCGGTCCGCTTGGCGGGGCCGGGTTGACGGCCTTTTCATCACTATACAAAATCGGCCAGCCCAAGAAGGGCGAGATCATCTTCGTCAGTTCCGCCGCCGGTTCCGTCGGCTCCGTGGTCGCGCAGCTTGCTAAGCGTGAGAGTTTGACGGTGATTGGGCCCGTGGGATCCGACAAGAAGCTGGACTTCATTATCAATGAGTTGGGTTTCGACGACGGATTTAACTATAAAAAGGAGAAGCCGATGGATGCTCTAGGGCGACTTGCACCGAAGGGGTTCGACATCTACTACGAGAATGTTGGCGGCTCGCACTTGGAAGCGGCGCTTCAGCACATCCGTGTGAGAGGCCGCGTGATAGTATTGTTATTATTGTTATTATTATTCTATTTAACGTCTGAGCAAACAAAGCGTAAACTCCACTTCGCAACTTTTTTAAAGGTATAAAATATAATAAACTTTAATTTATATAATATTATTAATATTAATAATAATATTAATAATATATAATAATTATAATATTAAATTTTACTTTAAAAATTTAACATTTTTTAATTAATAATTATTATTTATTAATTAATTTAATTTTAATTAAAAAATTAATTTAATAATTAATATTAAAATTCCGTTTTTTATAATCTTTTTATATCGGTTTTTTATTTAATTTTTTAAATTTAATTTTTATTTTTTTTTAAAAAAGTTAATATTTTAAATTTTTAATATATTTTTATATTTTTCTTTTTTTTTATATATATATATATTTTTTTTTTAAACTTTTATATAAAAAAAATTTATTTAAATATATATTTTTTTTAAATTAATCTTTTAAAAATTATAACCTTTAATTTTTCTTTATTTTTTTTATCTTTTAAAATTTTTTAAACTTTTTATATTTTTACATTTTTTTATAAATAATACCACTTTTTTTTTTCCGTAAATAATAAATATATTTTATTAAAAAAATTAATAATTTTACAAAACTTTTAAAATTTTAATAAATATTATATTAATTATTATTAATAATTTATTTTATTTATTACGCATTTTAATTTTATTTTATAAAATTTTATAAATTAATTTTTTTTATTTCATTTTAATCCGTTTAAACAATTACTTAATTTTAATAATTTAAATTATTTATTTAAAAAAAGTTTTATTTTTTTACATTATATTATATATTTTAAACCTTTATTTTTTTTTCCTTTAAAATATAATATATAAATATAATACATTTTTACTTTTTCGTAATTAAATTTATTATAATACCATTTATAATCCTTATATATTAAAATAATATTAAAATATTACTTTAATACTTTTTTTAATAATTATAATATTTATAATTTTTTTTTAAATTTATAATTAATTTTTATTATTTTAAATTTATTAAATATATTAACTTTTTTTTATTATTTATTAATTATATTTTATATTTATTTTTTAATTTTTAATTTAATATTTATAATTATAAACTTTAATATTAAATTTAAAAAACTTTTTTTTACTTTTTTTTTTATTAATTTATTTACTTTTTTATTATTTTTTATATTATAATATTTAAAATATTATTTTAATAATATATCCCGTTTATTTATTAATTAATATATTATTATAAATATTTTTTAAAAAATTAATAAAACGTTTTTTTAAACATTTTAAATAACCGTTATATTATTTACGTATAAAATTATTTCTGATTTAAAAAATAACTTTATTATTTTTTTTAATTTTTTAAAAGTTTTTAATATTTTAATATTAAATATTATTTTATATAAATTTATAATTTTTTTTTTTAATAATTTTATTTAACTTTTTATATATTATAAAATTATAATTAAAACCTTTTTTATTTTATAATTTATTTAAAAATATTATAACATTTTATAAAACCTTTTTTTAAAACTATTTTTAAAATTTTTTTACCACCGTTTTTTTATTTTTACTTTTAATAAAAATTTTTTTAACTTTATCTTAAAATATAATATATATAATATTTACCGTTAAACTTTTAATAATATTTTAATTATTAATTAAAAATTTATATATATTATTTATATTTATTTTACTTTTTTTCTTTTAAAATTTTTTTTAAACATTATTTTTAATATTAAAAAATAATTTTTATATATTATTTATAATTTATAAACATACTTTCGTTTTATTATTTTTAATATTATTTTTATTATAATAATATTTATAATTATAAATAATACATTTTTTAAAAAAAAAATTTATATTAATAAAATCTTTTTAATTGTTTTAAAAAATATTTTTTTATATTAATATTAAATAACCTTTTAATTAAATATTTATAAATTTTATATAAATATTAATTATTTTTTTTAATAAACTTTTCCGTTTTTTATACCATATTTTAATATTATATAATATTATTAAAAATAATATTATATAAATTATTTTATATAATTTATTTATCGAAAATTTTTTAATAATTATTATAAAACCTTTAATATAATTAATTATTTTTATAATTTTAATAATTTTAATTTTTATATATTTTTTATATTTTAATTTTTTATTTAAATAAATTTTTAATTATTATATAATTAAAAAAACCTTTATTATTTTAAATTTTAATAATAAAATTAATTTAATTTTTATTTTTTTTTAAATTTAATTAAAAGATTATTTTTACTTTTTTTTTTTATAAAATATATTATTTTTATTTTTTTAAAAATAAATATTATTTTTTTTTTTTTTATATTATAATATTTTATTTATTTCTTTTTTAATTATTTTAATATTTTTTTTTAATATTTTTTTAAAAATTAATATTATTATATTATTAATATATTTTTATTTATATTTATTACTTTTTAATAATTTATTAAAATATAATATATATAATATAAAAAATAATAATAAATTTTATAAAATTTTATACTTTATTTTTTTAACTTTTATAATAATTTTTTTTAAATAAATAATAATTTTTTTATTTATAAAAAATTTTTTTATAAAATATAAAATTTATTTCAATTAATTTTATATAATTATTTAAATTAATAATATATTTTATAATATAATATTAAATATTTTTTATATATTTAAAATAATTAATATAACTTTTTTTTTATTTATTAAAATTAATTTAATATTATAAATAAAATTAATTATTAAATTTATAATAAATTTTTTAAATATTATTTTAATATATTATAAATTAATTATTTTATATTTTAAAATTATTTAAATTATTTTTTTAACTATAATTTTTTTTAATATTTTTTTTAAACATAATAATAATATTATAAATTTTTAAACTTTATAAATAATAAAATTTATTTTTTTTATTTTTAATATTATTATTATTTTTGCTTTTTTTTATATATTAAAAAAAACCTTTATTTTTAAACATTTTTCCAATAAATTTATATAATATTTTATAAATATTAACCATATTATTTTTAAATATTTAATTATTATAACGTTTATATTTAAAAAAATTAAAAAAACTTTTATTATATATTTTTTAACTTTTTTTATTATAATTTTAATATTTTAAAATAAATAACTTTTTTAATTAATTAATTTTTTATTTTATAAATTATTTTTTAAATTAAATTTAAATAAAATAATATTTATTAAATATTTAACTTTTTTTTTAATATTTTTTATTATTTTATTTTTAATTTAATTTATACTAATTTATAATTTTTATAAAATTTTTATTATTTTTATATTTATTTTTTATTTTATTCCAAAAATCTTTTTAAATTTTTTTATATACCATTAAAAAAATTTTTTTAATAAACTTAAATAATTTTATTTCTTTTATTTTTTCCCATTTTTTCTTTATTATATAATAATTTTTTAATTATTAAAACGTTAATTTCCTTTTAATATAATAAAATTTACTTATAATTTTAATATAATTATTAATTAATTTTAATAAACTTTTAATTATATTATTAACTTTATTTATAATATTTATTATAAAAATATTTAATAAATTATATAATTTAAATTTTATTAAATTAATTAAATATATTAATTTATTTTCAAATATTTTTTAAATTTTAACCTTTTTTAAAAATAATTCCGTTTTTTTACCTTATAATATTATTTTTAAAAATAAATAATTTAAATTACATTTTAATTCTTTTATTATTTAATTTTTAATAAAAAATATATTAAAAAAAAATAAGTTTAATACGTAATTATTTTTATAAATAACTATATTTAATTAATTTATAAAATATATATTTATTTTAATTAATTAATTTGTTAATTTACGTTTTTTATTTTTTATATTTATATTTAATTTCCATTTTAAATAATATATATTAATATTATTTATTATTAAATAATTTTTTAAAAGTTTAAAAATTATAAAATAACTTAATATTAATTTAATTTTTAATTATTTATAATAATTTAAATATAAATATTTATTAATATTTAATTATATAAAATTTTTATAATATATTTTTTAATAATATTTTATTAATAATTATAAATTTCTTTTAATATATATTATAACTTTAAACTTATTTTTTTTTTTTATATTTTAAACATTTATAAAAAAATATTTATTATATTTTAAATATTTTAATATAATATTATTTTAATATTTAAATATTTATAATTTAATAATTATAATTATATTTATATTTTTATTTTAATATTATTATAAAAATATTTTATATATATATAAATTTTTATTAATATTATAAATTATTATATTAATTATTTTAAATTTTAAAAATTTATAATAAATTTATTTTTTAATTAAAATTATATTATAATTTTAAATAAACTGTATATTTTAAATTTAAATATTTTAAACATTTTTTTACCAATTATTTTATTAAATAATTTTTTAATTTTTTAATTATTTTAATAAATTTTATTTTTATAATTTTAAATTAAATTATTTTTATTAAAACATTTAAATTTAATATAAATATTAATATATAAATTATTAATTTTTTAATAAATTTTATTATTTTAATTTTTACCATTTTTTTATCTTTTATAATAATAACTTTAAAATTAATCGTATTAATTATTATTTTGTTTAAAAGTTTTTTTATAAACGTTTAAAATATTTTCTTTTTATTAATGGCGTTTTATTATTTAATTTATTTTAAAAAGTTTTTATTAAAAAATAATATTAATATTATAACTTTTATAAAAAAGTTTTTTACCATATATTTTTAATTATTTACTTTTTTAATAATTTTTAATTTAATTTAATTTAAAAATATTATTTAACCATATATTTTTTAAAATTTATATAAATAATTTTTATAATTTATTAAATAAAGTTTATAATAATTAACATATTTAATTAATTAATTATAAATATTTTATATTATAAATTTATATTTATTTAAATATTTATTACAGTTTTTACATAACGTTTTTTTATTATAATATTTAATAATATAATATTTTTAATATTTAAAATTATATTATATAATATAAATTTTTTTTTTTTTTTTTTTAAAAAATTATTAATAAAAAATAATTTAAAATGCTTAACGTTTTTTTTAAAAATTATTATTTAAATAATTTTTTTAATTATTAAATTTATATTATTATATAAAATATATACGTTTATAAAAATTAAATTAATTTATATTTTAACTTTTTTTATAATTATTTTTTTATTAATATTTATAAATATATTTATAATAAAATTTATTATATTAATTAATATTTTTAATATTATATATATTAATTATTTTTTTAATATTTTTATTATTATTACATATAAAATATTTATTATAATAACTTTTTATTTTTTTTTAAAAAAATAATTTTTAATATTTAAATTTATTATTTAAATTATTTATTTTATATTTATAAATTATATGTTTTTAATAACTTTAATTAATAATATTAAAACTTTTATTAAAATAATTTTAATAATATATAAAAAAAATTATTATTTTAATTAATTTTAAAAAAATTATATTAATATATAAATATTTAATTTTTATATATTTTATTTATTAAATAAATTAATTATTATTTTATTATATATTATTAAAAATATTATTAATAATATTTTTATAATTAATTTAAATATTATTTTTACTTTTTATTTAATTATTTTAATATAAAATATTATTTTTATTAAATAAAGTTTTAACCCCGTAATAATTATTTAAATTTATATATTTATAAAATATAATAATATTATTAAATTACCATTTAATTATATATATATTAAAGCGTTAAAATATTAGTTTAAAATTTTAACATATTTTTAAATAATTTTATAATATTTTATTTAATTATTTTTTTTAAAAAATTTTACAAAATTATTTAAAATAATTATTAATTTTATAATAACTTTTTTTTAAATCTTAATTTTTTATTTTATTTTAATATATTATTTATTAATTAAATTTTATAATAAAAACTTTATATTTATTATAATAAATTTTTTTTTAATTATTAAAGTTATTTTTAAAAAAAGTGTAATGTTTAAAAATTTAACTTTTTTTTTTATTATAAATTAATTATAATAAATATATTAAAAATTAATATTATTATATATTAAAAATTAATTATTATAATAAAACATAATAATATAAAAAGTTTTAACATAAGTAAAAAATAAAAAAAAATTTTACTTACTTTTTAATATTTTAATATTTTTACGCTATTTTTAGCGTATATTAGTATTTTATATAATGCACTTGCAATATTATTAATAATAGTATGCGCACGGATGATAAATATAAGGAAAGGTGCCGCGTGATAATGTGCGGCGTGATTGAGGGGTACAACACCCCGTTCGAGGAGCGTTATGGTGTGAAGAATTCGATTGAGATTTTCTCCAAGCGGCTGACCTTGACTGGGTTCGTTGTAACTGATGAAGATTTCGGCCCGGCATACTTCAAGCAACATCAGGAGACCCTGCAGAAGTAGATTGCGGAGGGTAGCTTCGAAGTCAAGCTACACATCACCCACGGTATCGACAACGCACCTGAAGGCTTCAGAGAGCTGTATCAGGGTAAAAACTTCGGTAAAGTCCTAGTTAAGATCAAGGAGTAGGCTCTACCTTAACTCTTAGTTTGTAATTAGCACCTAAGAACGTGGATATGATATGTGCTTTGGTTACGGGAGATAGCTTTACAAACTAGGGTTGACAGTAATGAATCAACACTCTTAACTTACTGCCTCGGTCTAATACAATCATCATGGCGTTAACTGAGAATTATGTCGTAAACCCCGCTGTTCATTTTTCACACTGGCCTCGTAGCACAGCCTATAAACCGTGAAAGTACCTAAACTGGATGTTCTAACGAAGCCATATTATTCCCCTTACTTCGCCCCTAACGCGCATTAAAGAGGAAGGGCAATCACATGGTAGATAGGTAGGTATATTACAACAACCACTAGCATACTTGTATCGTAGAATATAAAACACGCGTCAAGCGGCCACCCGAGCCTAGAGTTCTAGACACGTCATCGGCCGCACGCCCCGATCTCTGGCTCCAGGGGCTTAGGCTTTACCTGTTCCCCTGTTTGTATCATTCCGCGCTTGCTTGATACAGTATAGGGCCCGTCGGCCAAAGCCACACCGTACGCGTTGCTGTCCCGCTTGTGCAGCGGGGCGAATTACGGCTTCTGCATAAACCCGTGCAGTCGTGTAAGTAGATGGCGCAGGAAGCCGTTGATTTTTAGTATTACTTGTAATATAGCGGGGAATAAAATAACGAGTGACAATTATGTACTTAGTGGTTGGTTTACTATCAAGACAACTCAACTAAACAAGCCCAAGACTGAATATGAAAGGCTGGTATAGGTTCTTAGATGATTCCGGGTTTCTCCATCTCGATTACTTCGGTACTGCAACTCTAACCACTCATATGTACAACACTCGACTTTACTGAGGTATTTAGTCATGAAAATCATTTCCCGTCCTTATCGAACTTAGATGTAACTCCACTGCTATTGTCCATCTCAAGGTATACCCCCCCAAGAAAGGAAATATGACACAATGACACAAAGACTAAAGTGCTGCCAATAGAGGCTAAACTGATCGACCCATTTTGCCTTAAGAGGATAACGTAACCTCAAATTCAAGATGAACTATCAGTTGCAGCTTCACGCCACCCATTGAGCCTGTTCCCCTTAGACCATAACGCCAAATATCAAAATCCGATTCTAAAACAGAACTAGCTTAGGTGGTGGTATAGACGAATCGTGTTAGTACAACGACGGAGGTGACTCAGTTTTCTAGATCTCTAGAGTAAAAAACGTCTGTGGATTAAGGTCTTTCGGGCTCTCCAGAGTAGATTCGTTGACCTGAAATATGGACAGCCGAAAAGAATTAAATAATACAAAGAGAATTAAAGTAACGTCGAGACTGTTGCAATGGGGAATTATATTATGTAACGATTGCTATGATCCGAACTGCAAATTATCCTTATGCATTTCCGGGAATTGTAGGGTAAACTGGATCTTGTTAACGTCTGCAGTACGTAGAAATAGGTAAAAAATAGGAATGAAAACTTACACCATGCGCATGTAGCGATGATCGCATACAGACATACCAAAATGAGACCCTCAAGCCAATGGCTCTTCCCATCACCGATTAAATAGTTGACTAGGAGGACGGAAACGAAAAGAACAATAACCTGGAACGTATCGAAAGCTAGGGTCATCTCCTGGTTACCCATACCCCAACCGATAATAATAAGGAGTGGGATGAGAAGAAGGGCGACCTGCATAGACGATCCAATAGCGACACCAATAGCGAGATCCATCTTGTCCTTAATGGCGACAGTAACGGCAGTTGCGTGCTCGCAGGCATTGCCGACGATCGGGAGGAGAATAAGACCGACGAATTCCTCGCTGACGGCACCCGTAGAAGTAATGGCCTCGATACCACCAACCATACCCTCCGCGCAGAGTGCAATGATGACGGTAGCACCGATGAGGGTAGCAAAGGCGACGGCAAAGCTAAGCTGAGGTCCTTCTTCCTCATCATCATCATCCACGTGCCCAAGAGGGTTCAACATTATCTCGCTGAGTTTGCCCTCCTCGTCGTGAACACCGGCGTGGGTAGCTCCAGCACCTGCTCTCGCAATCCCGGAAGCAACAGCACCCTCCGGAAGACCCTTCTTAAAGATCGGCTTGCTTGCAACCTTCTGGCTTTGCTCGTTAAACAACGTTACGTGAGTTTTCATCTGGAAGAAAAGATACGAGGCATATACGATTAGTAGGATAAGGGCAACGCCGTGAGATATGTTCGGGACAGCATTGGGGCTTAGCTGGATAGAACCCTCATTTAAATCGTCGGTATGTGCGAAGACGGTGGGTACGATAAGACTTCCCACGGCCAGAGCCAGTAAACTGGCAGCAGTCTGGGCTACGGTGGTGTTGAAGTATTGCTCTCGACGGTTAATGCCACCGCAGAAGAAGCAGAAGCCTAGGACGAGAAGTAGGTTGGACAAAATACTGCCGACTAGAGACGTCTGTACAACCTTGATCTGATTCTTTGTGAGAGCGATGATGGCCACAATCAGCTCAACAGCATTACTTGTTCAAATTAGCACATTTCAAAAACATTTTTCTATGGGACATTTATACTCACCCAAAAGACGCGTTTATTAGTCCTCCAAGAACTTCTCCAGTTCGCATCGCAATCTCCTCAGTAGCATTGCTTAACATCGCGGCGAGAGGCACGATAGCGACGAAGTTGACACCGAATACAACTCTACCGTCAAAGTTGAGAAAGTGTAGAGCAATACCCGCAGGCGCGGCGAATATGAGTATGTTGATCGGGGAACCGAAAAATACGCGCTGGATTTGATTCCGAACGGTGAATGGCTCGGCAGGTTCGACATGCTTGAAGAAACCGCCGGTGTTTGTCTTTTTGGGCTTCTCATCCTCTTCAAAATCTCCGGGCTTGGTTGGGGTATTTTCCTGGGCACCGCGATGTCGCACACTACTACTATCAGGATCATTTCCAACAGTTGTCGCCTGTGATACAAATGTCTCGCCCTGATCCGCGTGGTCGACCGCGTGGCTACCTTCTAGCTCCTTACTATTCCGTGCCGACTGGTTGACGGGCGTCAGAAGACGACCTGGCGCGCTTGTAGATGGACCTAGGTGCGCTATATCGCTATCGCCGGTTAATATTCCTCGCTCAGCTGCATCTATCGTACTTGATCGCTTCGGCGCTCCATAGGCTATGTGTCTAAACGGATTGAAGCGAGCACTGCCGCCGGAATCGCGCCGACTCATACGATGGGCCTTAGCCTTGATTTTTCTCATATTCACTGTATTCCAATCCATGAAGTAAGTATGCATCCAATAATACGGGGTTGGTTTTGTTATTAGCTTGCTCTGCTGGCTCGGCTAGCTTTGCGGTACTGCGCAAGCAAAGATTAAGGGGAAAGCATAAACGGGATAAAAATGAAGCTTATGTAGCTATCGAAGACAAAATCAATGCCTTTATGCTAACAGCTTGTTCTTGGTGTTGTTTTGGCGAGAAACGTGGCAGAGCAAGTTAAGAATAGATTCGAGACAACAGTGTAAGCTGTATAAATAGGCAGGTCGAATTTATGATAGATAGAGTGAAGCATGCTTGACGCTAAAATTGTAGCGTAGAAATCCTGACGGAAGAGTGGAAGAGTGGAAGAGTGGAAGAGTGATAAGTTCGTCACCGTCACCGGATGAATGCTTGGTGACTGTAATGGAATAGGAGTAGACCATAATATCCGTGATAATCGAGTCACCACCTTCATCTACCAATAATAATAAATGAGGTTTAGACAGTCAATTGCTTTGTGACTCCGCAAGTAATTTGTGTCTTTATCTTTTTGATCATGTCGCCTTGCTCTGCCGCGTTCTTTGTCCACGCCTGAATTGGAAGGCATACGGGGCTTTTTGGGTTTAAATTCCAACGCAACAAAGATTAACTTACATTCGTCGCCCATCTTGAAGAGGCTCTCTCGATATAGGCTTCAGCCTTCTTAAAATATGGGTACTCGCGGTAGGCAGGCTCTACGGCTGCCTTGTAGAAACGATTGGGGGCCGTTTATGGGGTTTGGTAGACGTATCTCGGCAAATCGGCTCGCCTTTTTATCAATTTGGAAAGGTACGCCTTCGAGCGTGTAATTCTGTGGCCTCTGCTATTGGACGTGTCCCTTTAGTGCCTAGGCAAGCTCTATAATCGAGTCCTTTTTGATAGATCTGGAGTAATCCGGGGAAATCGTATCAAGAGGACTTCTTGGTGGCGTCTAATATTATTGTTATTTTGTTAGACCGCAAGATGGCGACGAGGACGCCAGAATAGGTAGAAATAAAAGAGTTAAATATGGTATAACTTAATGGATAACGAGTGTTAAGAAAACCAAAATATCGCGTCCGTTGTCGCTGAGGGAACCGTTGATGGCAAGGCAGACTTAACAATGGCTTAAACAACTGGAAAAACCAAAAGAGGCTTTGGAATATTGATCGAGGGCGCGATCAATCTTGTAAATGAAATAAATCCCTTTATTGGTATTAATGTTAGGGGGTACAAGATGTAAGTACAGACAGGGTTGAGATTAATATCCCGGTACATTATGTACCTAAGGTATCTACAAGGTACATATATGTAGACATTAGCGCATTAGGTATTTCTCCACAGCAGGACAGTACATATATACTTAAATGTTCTAATCAGATTACGCACGGTACATACCTAACATATCTAGGTAGGTACCTAAGTATATAGGTATATATAAGGTATGCATATATCCATGTAGGCCGCACAACCTGATTCCGGGAGGCCTCAGTTGCATCGTAGAAGCGCTGGCTGCTACGTATGTATGGGATTCCATTTTATATTTGCGCTCTGCATGTTCAATTGGACTTTATGCTATACTAGTCTTGCCAGTTTACATATTTGATGTCCATATTTATCAAGGCGCGGTCTCAGTTTCAAATCAAGCTCATGAAGGAATGGCCCTTAGGAATCAAGCTTTAAGGTCTAGCGGTTCCACAAAGCATGGCGCCAATGTGTTACCTATGTACCTAACATGGGTAACCTAGGTACTTATGTACCTTGTGTATTTCTGTTGAAGCCGTATTTAGATGTTTTACATTCCTGTTTCTGTCACCTCTTAAATCTCCGCTGCAGATACGCAAAAGCGACGACAAGCTATTCGCAAAACAAATGCGTAATTCGCAAATAACTCTCGCATGGAAACATCCGACAACTACTTCTGGAATCTTGATTCCCGTCCGAAACATGGTATCCATACGTGGCAGTCGGCAACTTCCACTTCTCAGGGTTTTCAACTGTTTCACAAGCTTTCCCAGATGTACTATGTAGCCGTCTTTGACGTGGGTGGCCATAATTATAACACGTCCTTTCAGGTCCCGGCCGACGCATAATGACGCTAAGCGGCAAGAGCCTAAAATCGCCAACGCTAAAGAGCTTTGGTCAATTTGAGGTCATCAACTTTTGTATCTAATCTGTGAAACTATCAAATTATTAACAATTAACCAGGACTACCTACTAAGAAATGTCTAATATCTGCCATTGCTAGACTCATTACCAAGTTTTTATAGCAAGCATCATCAGCATCATCTCCTCCAGGACCCAAAATTATACGACACATCCCAATCGACGAATCCACTGGAATATCGCTCCACGTCCCTCGCATCATAAAAAACTCCGGCTGTAAATCTTGAAGCATTAATTCCTCCAATCTACGGTGGATTATCGAAGTTAACCCCTGATCAGCGTTTAGGCTACGCGCACGAGTCAGCTTATTGCAGCCAAACGGATCTGGGGCGTAGATATTGGGCACTTTAGGCTTACGCTGCTATAGTTATTATATAGAGTGCGTGGTAATTGGGTGGGTAGGCTTCTTATTAGTGAGAATAGTCATGTAGAAACCGCCCGCAAGTACGTAGTGAAGTAAGTGAAGTTGCTACAAAATAGCCTTGTCGGGACAAAAGGGATAGCGTAACCTCAATAATTGCCTGTCGATGGTGTCTTACATTTTCAAGAGGATTAGGTATATTACCCTTAAAACATGATATAAAAAGTCCCTGCCACCCTCAAATCCCATTTCTAACAATATATCGGTATGTCCATCTTTTCAAGCTTTGTAAGAATTCAAGTAAAAAAGCCCGCCCGGCATCCATTCACTACGCATATATGGGATGCATCACAGCGCAGCCTCAGGGTGCCTGATATTGTCCTCGTGCCACCCATGTGTTTACAACGTACATAATGCATCCGGAAGAACCCAAGAGGATCTGGTACGAACAGGGCGAAGCCAGTTGCAGTAGCTTTCTAGGGGATAGCGAATTAACAACTAACATGAGGCGGTGCCGGGGAAAGAAAGTACGAGTCCCAAAGATCCTATTGCTGCGCCAAGTCGTTTTCGGAGAACTGACCTGTCGTGATCAACATCTCACCGCTTGTCAATTCCCGCAGCTATTCTAGAAGCTTAGTCCTGCACATACGCGTGTAAGCATATAGCAAGGTTATAATTATTCCTATTGATAACAAAAGAGACCAACCAAGGGAGGAGGTATTACATTATGTGATATAAGCCCCTGTTTCCTAGCGTGAGACACTGCCATTTCGTGATGGAGTGATATGTAGGTCTAAATGATTAATATCTCGACAAGCCTCCGGGAGGTAACCAAATTCTTCTAGATATCTCAAGCAGAACTGGACAGGAGACTTTTCTCCTTTTTCGTGCCTAGTCTGCCGAGAAAGGGGCATTGGATCGCAAGACTAACACTACTTAGGCTGTAATTTCTTAATACTGAATACTTCCTCGCCTAAAGAGCAGCGAGCCTGCCAGGTTAGGCGCCGGTCTGGGGTTAGCAACGGTACCTGACTCTGCGTTGCCCCCAAGAACGAGGGTTGGAATATTCGCATCGGGTACGGTATCGGGTCCGAGTGATGCTCCGACCACAGGTGTACCAGCCACTCCCCTCTCCAGCGTTTCTTTGTAGAACACGTCAAGGGCATTTGAATCGTTACAGAACGCTTCAAGTTTGTCCTTAAGGGCCTCGGGCTCCCCATGACCATAACCGGCTGGGTCCTTGGGACCGCTTGTCACGGTGGTATTTAATGGCTCAGGCGGTGCTCGAGGCGCAAAGAGCGCGGGCCTGAACATTGGCGATGCAATGGGCGTGGGATCGACTAAACCATAATTTGCGTATGCACTCGCACTCGCAAGGCGAGAAATGCGGTCGTTTGGCGCTGCCTCGGGTCGCGCTTGGGTGGGTTGGGAGACTGCTGCCCGATTGCAGCATAGCCTATTTGCTAGAATTAAAAAATCACCTTCATCGGTAATCTGTACTAGTGTGACGCCTGAGCGATGGATATATTGGGAATACTTGAAATCAGGCTTGCCCCAAGAGTAGCTAACATCTACGTTGCTTGGAAAATTGGAGGCAGCCTCAACGTCAAGGACATAGTCGAGCTTTCGCAGCAAAGCCTTTTGATAGTAGAACTTGCCTGGCTGTGTTTGCGGTCCGAAAGAGTTAGGGTCGTAGTATGTTATGGGACGCTGGGTGGGAGGCGGTAGTGTAAGCTTGATACGGTAGGGTCTCCGGAATGGATTGACTTCTGTAATACGACAAGCCTCTGCAATTGGTACCTCAATAAGGCGAAGGCCGTGCTGCGCTGCAATTGCAGCCCAAGACTTGAGGGCGTCTTCGATGAGCTTCGCCGTGACATTCATCCAATCAATACGAATGTGGTAGCAATTATCGGGATTGTGAAGTCTATCATAATGCAGATTGATCCTCTCGGGGCGGTAAGACTTTTTCCGATGATCGACGTCGTATTTCATCATTTTGCTAAGAACAACCTTAGGCCTCTTCCCGCCCGTCGTCCCCAAAGTAGGTGTTGTACTACCCGAGACTGGTGAGTTTTCGTCATGAATTGATAATGGTCTTTGTACTGCTACTTGATTGGGTCGAGGTGAGTCCTTCGGGGGATTCTCCGACAGAGGCGTAGAGGGGACAGATACATCTCGTCTCCTCGCGTTAAACCAACCCTGTGGATGGGGTTTCGCATATTCGCCAGCAATCTGATAAAAGAACTGGCCGTCACGGAAGGGGTGCCTCCTCTCAACGTGGATGAAAATCCCGCGGTCACGATCCTTCTTTGCGTCTCTGCTAGCATCCCTATCCCTATCTCTGGACTTATCGTCTTCAAGGACCATTAGAGAATTCCCAAGCTCAACCGCCTCTTCTCGACTCTCGAGATCTTCGAAGTTATCAAGCAGCCAGGTCGTCATATCTGATCCAATAAAACAGTGATAGTGGATCCGAAAATGCCATCGTCGTGTTTGCATTCGAATTCCACCTAGTTCGACCGGCTGTTGGATTGCTTCGGCCAGGGCAGCGACGTTGAAATTGGATTTTGAAAAGCGTTCTTTGTTAGACACCAAGCCCTTACGATTCATCGATTCGATATTCTCGAATAGTGGCAACGTCTCCACCTCGGCAGCAATTACTACGGAGGGGTCTTCAGTCTTGTAGACAATATCGAGAGGGTTAGGATCTCGCTTCCTCGCACCGGAACTTTGAAATTGGCGTTCCGAAGGTGATAAGAACCGATGCCGTTGCCAAAGTTGAGCTAGTCTTTTGATGCCCTCTAGGCGCACTTCCTCCTCGTCATCTTCATTCTGTGCTACTGGAGCTGAGGATGTCCGGGGATACATTGGTATGAGCACGAAACGAGCCCGCCAAAATCTGAGGTTTTCTGTCATCTCGTCCGTGTGCCCGGCAAGATACGAATCTATATAATTCCAATTGCGCTCGGGTTTCGGGGTCATGATATCAACATTGACGGTATGGTATGTGTCGTCGAGTAGGGTCTGAATAGCGGGTCTATATAGGGACGGCTGGTCAATTTGCGACAATGACTCGGTCGGTTTCCGCACGTAGATGTTAACTTCAACTTCGGTGCCGTTAACACACGAAAGTTGATGAATCGTGTTCCCAATGCTCATGAAGATACTCGTCCCATCGCTGACAGTTTTGTCTATCGAGAAGACGTCCGCTATTCTCACGGCCTTTTGATCAAATGCCTTAGCTACCGATGGACCGATCACTACTTGAAACCCGTGCGCAAAACGGGCACTGACGAGTTCTCGCAAAAATTCTACACGTGACCTAGGCTGATCCGTAGCTTCATCTTCTACTTCTTGGGAGATGTTGTAGGGCTGGCGTTGGTATTCAGTATTGAACTGCGCTTGCGTTGGGAAGTATTCTGTAGTCAAAGGGACGGCCGCAGGGTATGATAAGGACTTCCATTTCATAACTTTCATCTCGGATGGCCGTGGGAACACGTGCTGCCACCGGCTAAACAAGATTGAATCGTCGACCTTGTTCACATTCGGATTCGATGGGTTAAGAACAACTAACCATGGTGCCATAGCGGTAGTGGGCGAGAGCGTAGAGGGTAATTCCGGCACTCCTCCTGCTCGTAACTTCGAGTTATACAGCTTTTTCTGGTCCTCCTCTCTAAGAGCGTTCGAATATCTCAAGTCTCGATCATCAGGTCGTGCGCTTCTAGCAACAGGTGTAGCTGGTATCTGGCCAGACCTTAGTGTACTGATGGGATCAAGGGTTTGCATAGGGTTCCTGATTTGGATAGGGCGGCTTGGTGTTGCTTGCGTAAAGTCCATCGTAGAGCCCGATTGATCAATGGTCTGTAGGATGCTCCCGGTGATTGATGCTTTCGAAGAGCTTGGCCGTACTGTAGATTTAATGGGTGTCATGGGGGTTATTCCGGGGGTTGTTTTAGGGGTTGAAGGGGTTTGGAGTCCGGGGCCAGGAGCTTCCGTTCTAGTAACGTTCTCCGTTCTCAACTCAGCTGTCGCTAGTTTAGGGGCTGCGATACCAAATCCGCGCTGACCAAGACTAATATGTCTCATGAACTTTGGCGGTCGTGGTGGTGCCGGCTTAGGTTGAGTTGTGGAGTTACGCCGAGAAACATTAGTAGATACAAAGCCCCCCAATCCAGCCCTGTTCGATGATGCCACACTTGAAGAAAGCCCGGTCGACGACCCAGCTATTCTACTCTCTCCCACCGAAGTACCGAATAGGTTGACATCTTCCATTAACCTACCTGTGCTTTCTTCTAGTTCTCGATAGGGATGGTTCGGGGGTAAGGGCCGATGCGCCGGAAGCCGAGCTCTGGCTTCGTCAAAATTTTGTAGGTGCTTCCATAATAATGTTTCTCCAGCCTTTGTCAACTTGTCCGGGATGAATCTGAGGAAACCATAGACGGGCTCGAACAATGTTTCAGGTACCTTCCGATTCCCTATAGACGTCGATATACGACTGTCGCCACTTAAAAGTCTTTTTTCGCTTTCAAACTTGCCGATCGTACTTGTATAGGCAGAATCAGCGTGTAAGGGTATAGTCTCGATCTCGTTAGTCTCAAGCACGCTCCTCATCTGGAGGTCGTAGAGTCTACATCGAATCGTAAAATCATCTTGACAGTCGTTGGGGGACTGGCTCGAGGCAGACAGGGTGATACCTTGAAAGGATAAAGTCTCTTCCGACTTGCCAGTCCAGTAGGAGATGTGTAGCCACTGGGGCACCGCAAAGGCCCATTCATCAGTATACAGCGTAGAACTTGCCGAATCAACGCGACTGGCCAAGTCAGCTGCCTTTGTGGGAGATATGGATCCGCTTAAAGTCGTATAACTACTGGCCAGAAGCGTAGGCTGCTTCGGCGTGCTCCCGGGACTCCTGACCGGCCGGTGTTGCGATCTTTGGTGAGCCTCGAGGAAATGAGGATTTCGATAACGAAACAAAGGGACGGAATGCAGCGGTATGTTCGGAATACATATTAGGTCGATACCAATTCCATTGCCAACTAGGGCTTCTGTCGTCCGACGCAAGGACTCGTATTCGACTTCGAAGACACCCGGACCTGGGCTGATGACCACTATGGAAATGCCGGTCCGTAGAAGGTCCCGATCTATATAATCATGTGCATACAAAGAAGACGCCAAGTTTATGGCTTCGAGAAAATTTCCGTACATAGCTAGAGAGGACACTGCTTTAATCTTACTAGAGGAAGCGCCCTTCACCGAGGAATCCTCGGGGATATCCATGTCGCGGCCCATGGCATCTCGGTGATGAAGACTAATATCACGACGGAAGACGTTAAACTCCATCTTCAGTTGATGTAATATCTTAGTCCACTCGCCACTAGACATCTCGCTCACGACAACACGGTAGAAATCCTTAAATGGACGCCTCTCTCCAGACGTTTGAAACCCAGTATAATAATCATTGTCAAGAGCTGAGTTTGCAAACTCGGTGGTCAACCCAGTGTCATACTCGACCCTCGCAAAAAGTACAATACTGACAAGATGCTTTACTTGCATCAAGGCCCATTTCTTGAAGAGAGCTGGCAAGAATCCGTTCACAACCTTGTAGAACATGATCTCACCTGAACCGTCGGAGTCAAAGTCCCACATTTCTCGTGCCATCTGTATGAATAGCACGTATCTGGCGCATTCGCTACGGAAGATTGGGCGGGTGTTGCGGCTGAAAAACGCAGAGTGGACCTTGCGGCCCTCGACGAAGACGGTACTGACGGTTGCCTTAATGGTCCCCAGGAAGTATACTACTTGACCTTTATATACAGTCCGATCTGTTAAATCGGCGACTGCAAGTCTCCACATATCTGCACGGGACAGGTACATATCTTTAAAGGTGAGCTCAACGTGAGAGGCTTCCACGGCAGGGGAAAGGCTGTCGACCGGGGCGAGTATCACTTGGGTTCCCTTTCTCATATTGAAGGCGACACCAATTTGTTTCGAGACGTACACCTCCACATTGGGATGCCTAGCTTTCAGCTCCTTGGGCACATCCTTTGCGACAAAGACATATCTTCGGCCAGCATCAACCTCGGATTTGAGAACGTCATCGCTTGGGGTAGTAGCTGCGAATGCTCGGTGATAAGACGGCTGCCTTGAAGTACTATATTGGGACCCCTGCATCCTGTCCTGGTCGGATTTTATGGGAGCGATGGACATCAAGGCTCCGGACTGCACAACCCCTCCAAACAGGTCAAGGTTTAGGAGGACCTCATCACTAATGATAGACTCATTGATAGTGACACAACAGATTCGCTCATTTACTCGCTTAGAATGCGACTGTTCCCGAGGGGTGGAACGAATAGAGATATTATCTGAGGATAGGGGGGAGTCGGTCGAAGTCCTGTCGAAGCTGGACTTGCTGAATTGTCGCAAATGAGAAGTCCATTGCGTAGCTCGACGTGGCGCCGAGGGCGAAGGAGCGGCATTCCGAGACATTTTGCCTCTATTATCCAATATCAAATATATCGAGACGCATCATTGCGGAAAGACAAGTTTGTGACGCCCTTGGAAGAAATTGCAGCGACGCCACAGAAAATAATGATAGTTTTACAAGTGGAGGTTTACATTTAGGAAATACGTTAGGAAACCTAAAGCTGCCCCCCGGATAATACATAATATCGGCAGTATCGGCGGCTTCCCTGAAATAATCTGACCGCTTTCCTTTTTTGCGAACAAAACAGTACGTACCTGCATTACCACCTGTAGGTTACCTACCTATGTACCTATGTACCTAAGGTACCTGGTAAGAAGTACCTCCATTTTCGGGGAACATGGAATTTTCAATCTTCACTCCACCTTAACATCCCCCATATGTATGATCCAGTTCAGCACTTGCATTATTCGATCGAATTATTCGACAGGGCAGCTTAGAAATACTTCATGGTCGTATGATATAGATTATCTGGCTACCTCGTTAGGTACCTAAACTACCTGTCTAAGTCATAACGAGGTCATCAAGAGGGCAGTCCCGTTCAACAACCTGGCTTTTCATCTTATCCATCACCACTTTCCAGGTCAATTCCATTAACCTATCCCCGAGTGCATCGTCCTGCGCCAGCTTACTTCCCGGCTCCGGCACAGCTGGCGGGCAAATGTATTGGCCCGAGTCCCCTGTGTATGTCGCGGCAAACATAGTTGATACGGCTCCTTGGAATTGATCCTTTTTAAAAGGCTCGAGGCCGACGGCCATCGCGCCCAGCGGGAAAGGTTCAAAAATGTCTTCTTTGCTCATCTTTGTACTCACGAATCCCGGATGGGTCGCATTCATGAGTATGTTGGGATGACCCGCGTTCGTCACCTTCCGAGCAAAATATCTAGCGTATAGGATAGCCGCAAGTTTGCTACGTCCGTATTGTGCATTAGGACCAAGGTCACGGTTCAACTCCTCTAGGCTCTCAAATTCTGTGTCGCTGGGCGTTGATTGGTGCATGTTACTCGCCTGGTTGGATATGCGAACAATATTACCTTTCTCTGCGGTCTGCTTCATTAATGGAAGTAAGCGAGATGTGAGGATCACATGGCCAATATGATTAACGGCCATGTGTCTATCGACGCCATAGTCTGTGAGCTGGTAGGTCATAATCCCCCGTCCTGCGTTATTTATCAGGATATCCAGTCTGTCGCTATCCTTCGCGATCTCTTCGGCCATCTCTTTTACTCTCTCCCAATCTGATAAGTCGCACTGCATCCACTTAGTTCTATCCGCTACCTCTTGGCCCATATCTTTTGCGATGGCTTCCTTAGCGCCCTCCACAACATCTTCAAATATGGAAAGGATATAAACTTTAGCAACGTTGTGCTTTAGTAGTGTATAAGTACAGCCATAGCCGATACCTTCGCTCCCGCCTGTAATTACGGCTACCTTTCCCGTCAGGTCAGGAACTTGGTCCAAACTGAATGGGTGGGTTGTAATATCATGAGCCTTGCCACCGAAGTTTTCTCCGATGGTATTCTAATGACAGTGTCAATTAACTGAAATCCCCCAGAGTTCTCTATTCCTAGCATTGAAGGAGACAGGCATTATGCAGCCATCCGCCATAAGCCATGAAGACATACCTTGATGGACTTCATACCTTCTAACAGTGTTCCCTGTCTCGACGTAGCTTGTCGAGTAGCCCACGTCGAAAATGTTGCTAAACTCGAGGCAGTTCTCAGTGAATGGATCAAAGAGTAGCTCAAACGATACACGACGGGACGGGCCGGAGAGGCTCGGGAGAGTACACCACCGAACATGTATAAGGAAGCCTGCATTTGAATACCTTATAAACAATTTTTTATAGGAGTACTTACAAATCACGATAGATTACGCCTGGTCGACCGCCTTTCTAAACGATATCAGCCAGTCTCGTAGAGAAGACTAGTTTACCCTCTATGAGCATTGCTATTTCCAAGCCGTCATCGATCCCCATGTTGTGGTCATCGATATTATTTTGTTCTTGGCGTTTTTGTATATTCCGCTTCACCATGATGTGTTGATTCGGTATCCTACGTCACAAATGTAGCGCAGTGTTAGTCCAGCTTACCAGACTAATACATCTCGTCTTGCTTGATCTTATGTAACAGGTACCTAAAGTAGTGAATCAAAACCTAGAAACTCTTAGTCCCGCGAACCATTAGAGACGGTGTTAGGATTGAATTACATATGATATTATTTCGAACGATGACATTAGATAATACTTCTTATTCCAATGGCCATACTGCCCGGACTGCTAACGTATTATTCCCCGTTTGGATGCACAGACCATCACCTCCGGGTGTTTCTTCAGTCTCCATCTACAGTGGGTATCTAATGTGACCCTTGAAATGCTTGTATTGCACGACGGTGGCAGTATGTACCTAAGCTTAGTTGGAGAACAAAGAAAAGAATAGAAAGAAATGCAGTGCTACCTACCTTGCTCTGATTTTCAATATGAGGTACCTAAGCATCCTCTATCTTCGGGAAATAGATCTAGATGCAGCTGCAGCTGAATCTAGCAGTTTGTAAGGTACAGTTGCCGATTTATACCGATCCGGTGAGCTGGAACCGTCCGACGAATTCTGAGAGGCCACGACACTGATACTTCTCAGGGTCCGCTATGACTCTCGGGATACCACATAACAATCAAATATAAGAGCACATCGCGCACATCGCGCACATCGCGCACCTATCCCTAATGATCTGTCGCCCCCTTGTTCTGCAACATTCGGTCTACGGGGCCAGCATATATACATATCAGGCGAATATTTTTCCTTAGCGACGAAGAAGACAACACGCATTTGCCCATATTATATCTTACCTTACCGTCAGTGCAGGGATTATCCCCAATCCCCTGGAGCAACCCCTGTTTCGCTGTTGATTCGAAAGAACAGGGGTAATCAACAGTTTCAGTATGATCGACGGCGGAGTGTCCAATACTCCAGTCAATTGATAAACGGACAATTCTTCTCAAGGTCCACGTCCGAATGATTTTGTTCTTTTATGCTTTATTTGATGATTCAAGTGTCATACAATTATGATTCGCAAGTGACTGGAGGCTGGGCATATAGATACCTTTCTCATCGTCTATATAAGTCAACGGACGAATCGACATCTGATAATCAATTGGTTACCGCTAAATATCTCGGTTCACAAGAATTAGTACATATTTCGGCTTTAACCGCATACCAACCCAAATACGAGTTGTAGCCCGTAGCCTACTTTTATTAATATCAACGATTTATCGGACGACATCGCTTCCGACTCTAGACTCATTTTCCGACGAAGTTTACCGATCATGGCCGCGTTCAAACTCTCGTCAAAGCAGAAGCTTTTTGCCATAATCGGCATTTCCTTTTGTTTTTTTATTGCGGAACTGGTCGGTACGTTATAGAGACGAATTTCTCCGGAATCTAAACTCGGGCTAACCATGTCACAGTGGCCTTTTCTACCAAATCTCTGGCTCTTCTAGCGGATGCTTTCCATTACGTACGTCATATATCTGCTTATATGTTCGACGAAGCTATGCTTAAACCTGTTCTACTAGATGAACGACCTCATCGGCTTCGTTGTTGCCCTGGCCGCTATCATCGTAAGTTCAACCAGCGCATATTAGAGTATATTTACATACCTAAACTAGATCAGCTAACCCAGACACCAGATCTCGGAGCGTGCAGCCTCCCCTGACAACTTCTCATTTGGTTGGGCACGTGCCCAGCTACTCGGTGCCTTCTTCAATGGCGTCTTTCTGCTTGCCCTCGGTGTATCCATTTTCCTCCAATCGATTGAAAGGTTCATAAGCGTCGAACGTAAGTCATACCTCGTCCTAAGATGCTGCTATATGTTAACAACTCCGCGCAGCTGTTCAGAATCCCGAGCTCGTACTTATCATGGGTTGTGTTGGGTTGGCACTAAACATCATCAGTGCGACGTTACTGCATGAACATCACGGCCACGACCACGGAGGGCATGGCCATGGTCATGAACAGGCACAAGGTCATGAACATGCTGAGAACCACGAACACGACCACGAACACGACCACGACCACAGCCACGTTAATATCGAGGCTGGCGGGCAGCCAAGAGAAAGTTCGGGCGACTATGATCAAGACGAGATTCCCCTAACCGTAAGTTGCTATCAGTTTGTTCGCCCTCGTCTCCCGTTGCTAAAGTAAACGCAGCCTATAAGTGCCCATGCCGAGCATCGGCATACCATCGTGAACCTTCAATCTTCAGGACGAGACCTCGGTATGATGGGAGTCTTATTCCATGTCATTGGTGACGCATGTAATAATGTCGGAGTTATCATCGCGGCACTCGTCATCTGGCTTACGACACCCGAGAGCCGATTTTATGCTGACCCAGGCATAAGCATGGCCATTGCCATCATGATTTTGGTGACATCCATCCCACTTGTGAAGAACAGTGGCAAGATTCTCATGCAGAGCGCCCCGACGGGCGTAAATATTGACGACGTCAAGCATGATCTGGAGAAGGTAAGCCATTCGAAAGAGTTATTCGTGATTCTACGGCACCAAGCTACTGAAAATCTTGCATAGACTAACACGACATGATGAGTACAGATCCCCGGTATCCAATCTGTTCACGAACTACACATCTGGCGCCTGGACCAGAAGAAAGCCATCGCGACCGCCCATGTCGTGGTATCAAACAATGATATGACTGACTTTATGAGCCGCGCGCGGACTGTCGGCGAGTGTCTACACGCCTACGGTATCCATTCAGCGACATTACAGCCCGAGCTTGAAACCCCAACATCGACATTGTCCATCAATAATAGCAATAGTAGCCGTAATAACATAAGCATTGCCGCGGAAGATTCCGCGGTCGCAACCGCTGGAACTGGACCATCCTCAGGGGCATCGATTAGAAGGCGACGCCCCGAGATATCGGCCCCATGCCAGATAGCATGTGGGAACCTATGCGAAAACCTGACTTGTTGCAATACAGGTGCCATGCGGATCTAAACGCTAACAGTATAATGGTACTCAAGTTGCGCTATAATGTTTAGGTAGATTTAGCTATGAGACGGCTATATACTATATAGACTTATAATTAGCAATACTAAATCCGTACGATATTTATATAATTAACCTAAATGAGATAATCACCTCTACGACACTTGGGCACTATCTTCGAGCTTTATAATAGTGAAATAATCTACAAATCAGTCTTTGACCCCGAAAGCTTCGAGGATACGCGATTATTCTTCATTAGAATATCCCACAATAGTCAAGTCTTGTAGCTACCATCTCTTCTGCCACAATCCGAAATGCCTATAAGCCACTCTACAACTTTTGATACCGTTGCTTTTTGCTAAAGCCTAAGGTGAAATATGAAGGCCCCGTATCTTTGCCAACATCTGCTAGCCTCAAACCCGAGCCCGTGGTCCCGGTTTGCGATATATCCACGCACTTTGGGGGTGTCGGTCCACGGGGTTTAGCTCTAGGTCTAGCTTAAGTTGCGGTAGATCCCCCGCACCAGACAAGAAGCTATGTTTCCAGCTTCACCTCTCGATACTCATGGTCGTGGGGTGGTAGCGTGGGGTCAGGGGTCGGAAACGTGGGGGGTTCCCGCCGCTTCGAACCCCTCAAAATCGCAATCCTTTCTTCTCGTATCTACCTACTTACATACGCATACATTAGTCTAAGAGGGAAAGGACCGGGAGTCGTAAACCTGCATACATCTGCAGTAGGAAAAAGCAACTCTTGCATATCCGGACTACCATCCTACCTACCTCATCAGGCATGTGCATGCATACGTATTACGTATACACAAGATCCCATTAACAACAACAACGACTATGACGTCGTGAGCTTCCTTATTCTGGTCAAAAGCCATCTTGGTCTCATTTCCGACGTCGGCTTCGTTCTCACATGGTTGGCTTCAGGTAGAGAGACAGATAATCTTATCAATCCATCCATCTACGCGCAATGAAACAAGCCCGTTTGGTGTGACAAAGATGGCGTGTGACAGTTTCCGCCCCCGTTGTTCGTCACCGCTAGATACGAGCTGACTGGTCGACAAGGAAATATTTCTGTCGACCTTCTCAAGTCGGGAAAGGACCCGAGCGACGGAGCCGTGATGAGACCCTTATTCCGTAAGTACACCCGACCTAAGTAACCACACCCATTTCCAATTTCATCCCCTTCTTTCGAACCTTATCTCTTTTCAGTTTCCTCCCCCGCGTCAAATCTTTCAGCCTTGCCGCGGTGACATTCGCGCGTGCTACCTACCGGCCTGCTTTGTGCATGCAGCTCCGCGGATGGTAGCCTACGTACGAATGACATACCCTGTCTGCATGATCCTTTCCTCTCGTTCCCTTCCCTGCAAGAACATGGCCTTACTTTTCGGAACCAGAACCGAGCAATGTCTGTGCCTCGACGTGGATGATACATATAGTAGTAACGCGAGACATCTGGCTGAAGTAGACGGGCGGGTCCGGCCCGTGGATGATTCTTTCCCATCATACAGCACAGGTTATATTTCTTTATAACTTATATGGGAATATTGTCCAATCACTATCAATAGATTGGGTATCTATATCACGAACACAATCATACCAAACCCCAATTTCTTGGCGCTATATAAACTGGTCGAGGACATGCAAAGTCCCAATATCCGAGACTTTGTTTTGCAGCGTTGCATGATGTACAGATTCGTACAATATTACTATGCAGGCGTCATGTAATTATATTTCCTGTCCGCCTTATCCACTGCCCCCGATACATATCAGTTCGCCGACATCCTGCCTCAGCCACTAGAGTTCCCGAATTAGCTTGTAGTGATCGATTATAAACCATGTCTAGTATTATAGCTAGGCGAATCAATATGAGGGTTCCAAAAAGATCAATACGAAGTGTTCAAGATCTTTCTGCTAGGCGCAGTTACCGCTAATAACAATGTACCTCCTTTCGTTTATACAGTCAACGAAGCTCACGACTTAAACTATTCGCCCCGATCTTTACTCCTATATCTTTTACTAGAAGTTACAGGTAGTAAATCTTATTTTATCTATCAAAGCAGAAATGGTATGCGTAGAGAGTCGGAGGAGGACCCGCATTTCGGACCCGGGCCATTTGTATTAGACCCACCCGGCCGGTGGTGGACACCAGTCCAACAGGAAGTCACGAAGCACGCCCCCAAGACATCATGCATTTAAG